GAACAGTTCGAGAAAGTTGAAGCTTACATTAGCTTCTCCTTTTTCGTTGTCAATGACAAAGTACCTGGGGTTTCTTCAAATAATAAGCCCCTTATCCACTGAGCAGGTAGTCCTTTGGACAAGTTTTATGTTTAATTTTCTTTCGCTCCGCTTTTGTCCCCTTTTGTCGTACGAATTTTTTTTCGTATTTTAAGTGCTGAAGTACGCTTTTCGATTACGAAGCGTCTCCAGGCCTACAAGAAAAAAACCTTTATTTTCCTTATATGCCGCGGCTTTCTTCAATATTATAAAGGCTTCGGCGAAATGACTTCGCCTTTTAACTAAAGACGTGTCAACTTGTTAATATCTTTCTAAAAGAGCCTATTAACACCAAATGCACGAATCTTGAATTGTTCCATATTGGGCGGTAGTCAAGTGAGATTAAGAAACAATGTTTCTATTGGAACAGAATTTGAAAGCCCTATTTGTCGGCTGTGCGCCTTCCAGGTAGTTCATATTGTCATAATGTCGGTTTATTTGCCTTTCATTTCTGTTTCATAAAGAAGTGCTTCGAATCTTAAGCAAACAGTGTTTAGTTTGGCGTCGATTAACATGGTTCTAAACTGCGCTAATCACTTCTGCCCTAATGTAAAAGATACTTACTGCACAAGCTGCTTAAACAAGCTAGGGAAATACATATTTTGCCCGATCCAGAAGATGTTTTGGTCGTTCGCTTTGACCACATTATTAGGCAGGAAATTAGACAGTGATGAATATACAGTGATTGAGAGATAAGTAATAAAATCTTCTGTTGTGTTTCCCGGCCTCAGTGATCTTTAAAATTACTCGAGGTTCAGGCGCGGCCGTATTGTACGAGGAGCGCGAAAGAAGCTGCCTCTAGATTTTGTTTCAATGTGAATTTTATTAATCCACATCTCTTGATATAACATATAAATAAACTGAAAATTCAAAATCGAAAAAAAATATGAGTTATTCAACTTTAGACGTTTTTTCAGGAACGCAAGTTTGGATTACAGCAAAACAGAAATGATCGATGAATAAAATAATGCGCAAGTTTGGATTACAGTAAAAGAGAAATGATCAATGAATAAAATAATGAATTGCCCTTTCACTCGATTTCGGAAATTTAGTTTTACAAAGGGTTTCATAAAGGGGGAAGGTTATTGGAACTAGTCCAATTTTCTTGTTTTTAATTTTAAACCGCAGAAATATAGGTCTTGATCCCAAGTTTAATTTAAAGGTTTTCCCTACAGGCACGTTACCATGGCTACTGCTCCCCCACATCATTTTCAACCTTAACTTTAGTAGAAATATTCAGTTAACGGCCTGAATAAATACAACACTGTATTGAATGCAGATTCGGCTAGCTTCTGAATACACAATTGTCTCGATCCGAAAACGTTGACTTATGTCTAGCCTTTTTTGGCGTAAAATGTTTGATAAGGAATCAAAAAACTGCTGGTTCTATTTGAAAAGAAGCTAATTACCGTCCGAAACTTCATGGGGGTCCGAACGAAGAAAACAAAAATGTGGTTCGAGGCAATTTTTGATGATCTGATCTATATTTTTTGTCTTCATTAGCCAGTATTTCTCTCATTTCTGTCTGAGGCTTTAATCCGGGTACAGATAAAAACAAATGATTGTTTTTGTACAATAGAGTTCCGTAAACACATTGGGTGTGAATATACAACAGGTAAAAAGCGAAGTTTGTTTGTGTTTCTCGTTTTGCTTAATTCCCAACCTTAGCCTATGTTTACCAGTGCTGAATAGCAGCATAAGGGATTTGTTTCTAACAAGCTTAGTTTCAGTCGATTCAAACTTAACGCTGCGTCTATCAACCCGTTGTAAGACCCCGGCGAAGGGGAAAGTTGAATTTCTCCGCCGGGGACACGTCATAAATCCGCGCTTTTATGAGTTGAAATATCGATAAAATCCAGATTATATCCTTTCATCTAGCCGAGGAAAACATTTTAGTGCAATTGTCTGTTCCTCTTTAGCCCTCTTTAACTAAATGGTACCCTGTAATTCTATGTTCATAAATAAACAAAGATCTGTTTTTCATCTCCTTCCAAGATAAACATCGGCCGTAATATTTAAAGCCATCATGTCAGAGCCCAATCCAACTTAATACAGATCAAAAAATCCAATTTCTGGGTCGAAAAATGATGTGCTGCTTAATTACACAGATGCACAATTAAGCAATATGAAATGCAACATATAATTAGTTTGTAAAACAGCAATTTGCTTTGATATCCCCAGTTAGACAGGTACCGATCGAAAAGTCTGCCAATATGGTCATTAATGAATGTAGTGGAATATGGCTTGCTTTAACCCCGAAATTCGTGGGGCTAATTAATATTGTGAACCAAAATGTCTTAGTGTAAATTTTTCTCTCCTTCATGGATCGCCTGAAACTGATTTGCTACCAAATAATCAGGAAAAATTCCCACTTTTGTTTTAAAACAAACCAGTTTCGCTTATAAGTTTCAGTTTTTTGGTCTTTTTTATGCGGTGTCTATTTTAGTCCATCGCATCACCCCAATACAGGGTGTTTCAATTTAAAACTTTTGATCTGTCATTTTGGTATCTTGTAACATGCCAATCGCGTGATGTTCCCACTTACAAGGTAATTCGGTGAGATACTTTTCTTTTTGTTTGCACAAGCATTAAAGTAATACATTGCAAAACCCCAAAACACCCAAGTAAAAGCGCAAAAGAACTTGGCAGTCTCCTTTTTCTCTATTTTTCCGGTAACACCCAAAAATTGTTTCCTAACTGCCGCTATTATAAAGCGATGTTACAGGCGCCTTGGTTGGTCATTAGGAAGCAAAAGGTTGAGGAATGACAGATAGGCGCCGTTAAATGGATTACTGTGTTTTCCTTTTAAAAACTTCCCAAATACGATATTTCCTTACTAGCGAAAAATAACGCCGTTATTACTGAAAAATCTAACGTATCACAGCTTTAAAGTCTGAATTTTTGCCAAAAAGAAGCTTTGATCATTAACTTAAGGCGTTTATTATTTTAAATCACGCTTAAAAATCCCAAAAATCGCACAAATTCCTTTTAATTTTCATCAAAACAAACCTTAACTTAAAATTTCGAGACGAGCGTTTCCGGAGTTCAGACATGATTTAGGTCTAGCCCAAGCTATTGTAGGTTTATAGAAATCTCTCGGATTATCCCTGCCGTGAAAAAAACTAAACAAGAATACCTTGGCCAACTCTCGCCAAATTAGCGCCTACCACTAGCTAAGCATGGCTAATTACAACAAAAAGGCATAAATTTAACAGAGGAAGACGGTGCTAAACTTTCAGTAAACATTTATTTTTGCTTCCAAAATTAGTTTTGGTCAACATAGAAAGATAATGGGCTGTATTTTGAATCTTTTTTCGTCTTAATTACTATCTGTGATGAACTTAGCCATTTTTCGCTTTTTTTGTTTTCAATAGAGAGCGATAAATTTTGATGTTTTGTCGCCTTCACTCGGCTGATTTTTCCGTTCGGGCATAAATTATCGCATGCTCGGTCAATACGCCTCTTGTTTATTTACCGAAAGAACCAATACTGGCTTGCGCCCGAAGCGAAAAAGGTTTGCGACTTCTTTCAGTAGCTTTAAAGGTAATTGGGGCTATTCAAATGGAGCGTTTGGCCCAAACAAATGCTGAGATTAAGCAATCGTCCCCCTTTGTCCCAGGGAAAAAGAAATCATTGTCCTTCTCTAAACATCAAACGAAATCGCCTGTATGCCGCGTTCAAGATATTTAAGCACGAAACCCAATTGAAAAGCAGTTACGTGAAGACGACGTGGCCTTAGGTGATTTCTAGCGCATCCAGAGCTAATGCTGGCCATTCAATGCTCACTTTTCCGTCGTTAAGGGGCTTCGTTCAGCTGTTTTAGCCAGGGAAAATAAATTGGAACACTGAAGAGCCACTAAATGATGTTTGAAAAGATCGGTACCTTGTCTAATTGCGGCGGCAAGTTCTTTATGAATGCAAAAGTAGTAAGAGAAGCGATTATTAGCTAGAATTAACCAAACACGGCCTAAATTAATCCATTGAGAGATGTTTCATGTTAAATAGAACTTTTGCATCTCAAATAGAGTTTTCCAATGCACGGCTTGTTTTAATCCCATTCTCTTGCCGTGTGTTTTTTGCGAGAACACAAAAAGAGAATTACCTTAAACAAGATTAGAAGGTGAATTTTCAAGCTCATTATATAGCGTATGTGTTGGGTAGTTCAGCGGCTCGTAGTGTGATTGTTTTCAATTATCACTCTCACAAAGTTACGATCTGACCATTAAAAACCAAAACGTGAGGCGCGCTAATATAATCATATGGCCGTCAACTACCAAATTTAGTACTCAATATTTTTGAAAGGCAAAACCCCGCCACTTGATAGGTCAATTCATTGCAGCTGGATTGAAATTAGGTATTTTTTGAAAAGCCCAAAATCACAACAAGCCTCTCACATAACAATGCTTTCTGACCATTATTCGCCTTTTCAAGCCCTTAACATTTGTTTTCATCGGCGAACCTTTTAGTAACAGCAATACTTAATTTCTAGAAAAGTGCCGTGGATCATCCATGGTCTATAAAAAATATATATGCTCTCTGACTAATCAGCATAACAAAGGTAGACTAGTGTTTAAGACATAGAACTCTCATGGGAACACGTGGGTTGAAAGACGTGCTTCACAGTTGCTATATATATTGAAATATCAGCTTGTGGGTTACGTAGTCACCAGTGATCCCATTGAACCAGTGACACTCTAGGTTTTATGATTTAGCGCGAAGATGCGGGAAAAGCGGTGAAGTGCTACGCCGGAAAAGAACATGTGGATAAGTCATAAGCCAATCAGCTTGTGGGAGCTTTTTGACAGCTTTTGTCAGTTGAGTTCAAAACTCCGCCCATCATTTTTGTCGCAAAGTTCAAAAGCCCAAGCGTATCATTTATCTGGCAGTTCAGTGTTTCTTTTTATACGCTCAATGGGACGGCTATGGGTTTTGACGTGGAAAGGTTATTAGAGCCAGTGGACGACGATTTGAAATGTGGAATATGTTTTGGCGTTCTAGAAGAACCCTTAGCTACCCCATGTGGACATGTGTTCTGTGCCCAGTGTTTGGTTCGATGGGCAGCAGAGAGCGGCTACTGTCCTCATACATGTGAGCAGATTTCTGTTGACGATCTCAAGAAGATTCTGCCACTAAGTTACCTTATCGCAAAGCAAAATATTCGATGTGAAAATTTTCGCCGAGGTTGCCCAGCCATTTTAAAAGTAGAGGATATTCACTCGCATCTTTTAAAATGCCAATACGTGAAGGAAAATTCTTCCGGAGGCAGAATTATGGAACGCAACAAAGCGAACTCCCCGGAAGCTCGCGAATTTACGCGAGTAGTAGTATGTGAAAATGGCTGCGGGTTGCCGCTGCTCTATCAGGATTCCAACGCACACGACTGCATCAAAGCCCTTCAAGCGCAGGTCGCTTCGCTCCAAATGAAATTGACAAGGGCGGAGCAGGAGAAGGAATTGGCCTGTGAAAGAATAGCCAACAGGGAAGAGGTTTTTCAGGACCGAATTTTAAATCTGGAGAATGAGTTACACAGCTACCAGATTCAAGTGCTAAATTTCGAAAGGCAATTAAAGGAATACCGATCTCAAGTAGGATTTTTACAGAAGCATACAGACGATGAAGCCGATCAGGTAGGTGATTTATGAATGAGCTGTGTAGCTTAGTGTTTAGTTGATTATGTTTTGTTCCAACTGAGCGCGCATACAGACGCAGTGATATGTTTGATTTGGGAACCAAACCGCAGAATAGCTTGTATGTTTTGAAGGTGCAGTGAGCTAGCTAGATCAATACCCGGATCGTTTTGATCAATTAGTAGGCTCTGTGGGGTCCACAGAGGTAGTGATTCCTCTAGAGGCCTAAGGCCCCTTACAACAAACGCCTCTCTCTGTCTCTCTCGAAACGCGGATTTTTTAGAGAGTTATTTTAGCTGGAGTTTGCTTCCAACTATAACCTACTGAGTACTCAGTCTTATACACTCTTAACGCACGTCGCCTATTAAGCTAAACAATAGCTTGCGCCATGGACTGTGAAAGTAGTTTCGCTCGAATTTATCCATTATAACCGACACCCGACTGTTTTTCTAGCCAAGGTGAGCGACACTTTATTAAGTTGTAAGTAAACAGACACAAGCGAATTTATACGTTTTCTATGTGTTTTTGATTACCGCTGCCAATCGGTTGACTTTCATATATCCTTTGACTTGCAGGCCGCCGAAGAAATAGAAGTCGAAGTGTCTTTATCCAGAGTGGACGGATCTCTCGGTTTCAATATTATGGGGGGCGCAGAGGTATTATATTTTGTAATGGTTTCTTGGTTATTCTAGACAGCCCTGATGCTCTGAATCGTCACTTGGTTGAGAATTTCGTTCGCGTCGCGCAAGTAATCTCTTTGTTCGCGCGGTACGTGACACGATCCGTCTTAAAAATCTTGCTCTCATTCTTTCGTCTGCTTCTTTGTTTTCTTTACAACTAGCCCGAAATTTATTCTGGCGGAGAACGCGACTTGCACAGGCATGTGGTGCGAGATTTGTTAGAAGATTATCACATAACTAAAACCTTATCAAACTCTAATAATTTTGTTATCACGTCTAGTGAAACTCTGGGCGATCTGACTGGTATTGTGGCGATTGATAAGTAGGGTCCTTTAAGAAAGTTCCTCAGAAAATGAACTCCTCTTTGTTTTGTTTTTGAAAGAGTGTACTCATAAACACGGTTGGATACCGATGTAGTGAAATAAATGAGTGCACTTTTGTCTGTTTTCAAATATACTACGTTGTAAACCGCCGCGCGCGTTCCGTCGCGTTTCGCTTTCATCGCGCGGAAACTTTGGATTTCGATACCCACGCATTCCTTCTCAACAGCTACAGAATTCTGCGCGTCTTTGTTTTGTAACAAACACTTCACTTTTCGCCGTTTTTATTATCAGGTCGGAAACAGTTCAGTTGGTGGTGGTATTGTGGTTTCTAAAATAGCAGACGGCGGACCGGCCTCGAAAGAAGAAGGACTTAAAGTTCATGACAGAATATTGAAGGTAAGACCTGCTCCTGTATTTGTCTTAACACCCAAACAAAGCCATTCTCGCGCGCGTGTATTACAGTAAAATGTACAAGATCTCTTTCATCATTTGCATGACACCGTCGGTGACACGCATATCTTTAGAGAGCCGCTCGTGATATTAAATTCATCTTTTGTCTCGCTAACCGACTTTATATACACGCTTCAGTGGTGGGTTGTTCAGTTTATGAAGCCTTCATTGCTAAAGAGCTGGCCCTAAAAGGATTTATTTACAGAGAATTGGTCGTAATTTAGCTCAGCGTATTAAATATTTTGTACGTTTCCGACTGTCAGCTTCGGATTAATGAACTAACTAACAAACCATATGCTTCCGTTGCTAAAGGAGAGACACTTTACTAGCTTGATTACCACTTGTAAACAAATTTGGCTTGCCTTTACTTATACCACGTTATCTTAAGGGGAATTGGATTTTACCACTCAGAGCTTTGCGCTAACGCGAAAACAGATAACTCACGACATTTTAATTGCTCAAACAAAGACGGCTTCCCATGGCGAACTGAATTGAAAACCTCAAAGCCTTTTCTCTGACACCGTCGTGTTTATTTTTCGCTTCAAGGACTCGTTTGATGTTTGAATATGTCCCACCACGTGGTCTATGTATAATTCGGGCGCTCTCGCGGCGATCTTTAGTCTCCTGTTTGTTTAGCATGCTGTACGTTCAACAGTTCAAAATAGATCAAGTATTTGGCCTCGCTTGTTCCGCAGACCTCATGTGAAATGTCAATCTTTTCTCCGCAGTTGGAAACCACTGCCCTGTCACGCGAGATTCTTGAGTTCTCGCTGCGATAAGAAAAGAAAGAGACCAGTTTGCTTTTGTGAGTTTCTTTGCCCACCTGCGCGAGCAAAAATAAATTATACAAACCAGGATGTATTGTGTAGGCATAGTCCAGGCTCTCGCTGTGTTTTACAAAAGGCGTTTATCGGAAATTGATCTGTTAGTTGAACAATATACAGACTGAAGTTTAGGTTTTTCAGAATATTAGCAGGCAACCAAGAATTGACAACAATGCACCAACAAACTTCCCGTAGCCAAAGGCGAGACAAAAGTTTGTAGATTTGTGGAACGAAGAGACAGTAGTCTAAATGAATTATTTATTTTTGTCTTCTCGCACAGCCCGTTGTCTTGTTGTGTTGCCTTCCAGACAAACAAAAATTTGCGAATGTAATTCACGGAAATATGAAAGAAAATCCTTTTGAAAGATATTTGAACTTTTCAGCTTCTAGGGTCAAAAACGGCTTACATAATACGCGCGTAACCGCGATGGTAAAATCTCTTTAATATTTCCCCCATACCTTTCAACTGCAAAAGGGCACGTCTGTAATCCTTCATCAGCAATTCAAGTATGGTTTCTAAGGTTTCATAAAATCTCGTAAGATATCAGTATGCTTGTCCGCAAAAGAATCTTAAACATGTAGCTTCTCATGAGCTGGAAATTCGTCTGACTTCTGGCTACGCGCTTATGTAACCCCTCAATGGACAAGTTATTTCTTCGAGTAAAGTATGAAACTTTGACGGTAAATATTAGCTTGCTACTTTTCTGCTGAAAAATAATGATATTTCGCCGGGGAAAAATAGTGCAGAGCCAACATGTAGATTTTTATTGGTAGCCGTATCACATCGCTTGGTGAAAAACCCGGGTGGAGGAATCTTTCATCGCTAGTCTCTTGTATCAAATGCCGATTTCCTGTTCTCTGTCCAATGTTATGATAGACATTGTAGAAAGACACTTCGTAAGTATTTTGATATAGCGTTACAACATTAGGAAAATGAACGACAGAATTAACATCAAACAATAAATCTCCTTCTCTTTGACCTTCAAAGGTCGCCTTGTAATTTCACGGCTTTTACATAGATCACTATCGCTCCTTTTACGTGCTTACTATAGTATAAAAGCTATATCTCAATACATGACCTCGATCAAAGAACCCATTTAAAGTCGTAAAGTGACTTGTTTGTAACATTTCAGATATATTGATTCGGCGTTAAAATTTCCTTTTGGGTGCCGAAGTTTTGGCTTCGCAAAGTCTAAGAGTCTAGGTTAGCTGATTATTTTCTTTAATTCATGATATTTCGGTCGATTTACGTTTTTAAGAGGTATTGTGTCAGCGTGGGTTCTAGAAAAACCATTTCCTCAATTCCTCGGATCTCAGTTCCAAAACAATTATCAAAAACCCATCAAAAGCTCTTCCGTTCGAAGAAGATTAATCGTCAGTCACTGACAAGTGGCTGAAAGTGTGTTCAGCCAAATTTAAATATTGTTCTCTTTCCGTAACATTTTTAATTGACCTTTGAATTTTCGATACAGCCATACGCTGTTTTGTAACTACAGGACCTGTTAATCCTTAAAAGCTTAGCTTTTGTTATATTCTTTGCATGAGAAAATAATCGCGGCAGTATTTGTTGATAGTTTTGTGAGGTGTAATCTAGATTAAAGCCGGTAGAAAAACTATGAGTGGTACATTCATTAGAATATGTACAAAAAATAGAATTGAGGGAAAACTAGAATAACTTTTTTGTGAACAACGAAAATAAAATTTTCCGCATATTCTAAAGAATATTTCCCATTATTAGCGATTTTCTCAGCATGACAACGTTGTCAAATAAATAAAATATTTGTCTTAGTAATATTTGAAGAAACAAGGTGTTTCGTATGCTAAGAGTGATTAAGAATTCCCTGCTGTTCGTTAAAAAGGTGTTTTATCGAAATATTGTGTGGTTTTTCCTTAATACAAAAGAAAGGACGCAAAGTTTGAACTTTGACGTGATTTCAGGGACAAAAAGGAATTTGATAAAATCGCGTTTATGTGTTATAAACAGTAAAAGTATACCGGACAGCAGCAGATTAAAAAAAGATAAATATAGGCCTGAACATTGAAAAGCCTGGAAATAACAAGCGCATTTCATGTATTAGTAATGTAGAACTCTATTAACTGAACGAAAATTCCTTGAAGTTTAGTCGAGTCATCAAAGGATTTACCAAGTTCCCTTGTATAAGTTATTCAGTATTTTAGTGAATACTTTTTAGTGACAATTCGAAAAGGGAGAATGGTCTTTTTAGAATTTAACCGAAAAGACTTGAAGCCGTTTAAATTACAATAGCTAAAATGCAGCTTAATGTTGGTGCGATGAAAGGCTGTTCGACTCATTAAGTGACGGTAAGTGAAAATCACTTTTCTAAAATGCTAAACAAGACAGCGACATTAAGATATAGAAATACGTAGCCGACTGGCTCCTTCTCGCGCAGTTGATTACTTAAAGCATAAGCCGGCTGATAAGTGATTATCTCTTGTCTGAGAAGGAAAAAAAAACTGTTAATTTTTCCCGAATTAACGAATGAACCATTTTCTAATTCCGCCTAACGAACTAGTAGCAATTCATAAATATTTTTCCCATTTAAAATTCATTTGGCCGGTCATGCTTTAAAAAGGCAGAAGTTATCAAATTTTCAACTAAGTGTACTAAATTGGATTTAAAGAAACACAAAGCAAGAAACCGTTTTACATTATTTATTGTTTTTGTATACCCACGGCAGGTGTTTGTCTACAAACGGTAATGAATTTAGACAAACCGAAACATTCTTAATTTATGCTATTTCCCTACGAACTACTTTTCAAGATTATTTTATACCAAAGATATAAATATCCAGAACTAAAGCCGATAAAATATACAAGTCGAAAATTATAATTAACGCGCATAATGCGGCGTTTTATCGCATAGTTTTGACTGCCCGTTGAGTAGATAAATCTGGTGCAGTGAGTGATACAGGGTCCGATTTTCACGGCGGCTCCAAAAACTAAAATGTATTTGTTGTCACCATGTTTACGGCAAATTTTCTACTGAACAGGATATTTAACTCTTTTGAACTGTTTTCTGAAAAAAAAACCTATGAAAATAAATTTGATTCATTTGTCATGCCGTACAAAAATACATTCATTAGCATTGTTGAATTGCGGAAAGTCATTCAGCATCCTTTATGATAAATATTATTTTTGATTTTGTTTCCAAGAAACTAACTCTCTTAAATTTAATGCTAAAAAAACTTATTAAAAACCCTGACGTCTCTCTTGTATATTACTATACTTCTTATTTTTACGTACAATGAAAAATTTTTGTTGGATACATTTTAAAGGAAGATCGCATGCTAACATGTTAATTAATAAAGAACCATCCATTAGGTCGTGATACCAACCTCATAATAGACAGAAAAATATTGACATAAGTTTCATATTATCCACTCGTTTCTCTCTCGTTAGTGGTAAATATTATCAATGTTTTTCAAAGTAGGACTTTCAAAGTCACGGAAAGTGTGTGAGATATATATTTTAAGATATCGCGGTAAAGTGTCCCCGAAAGTATCGTCTAGGCTGATTATTACGAAAGGTGAGTGAATTCAAACTTGAGCAAAACTTTACGAATTGAAATTCATCGTGGTTTGTTTGCAGCAAAAATGTACAGATTTTAATTATTTTCCCCGGAAGATCTAATGGTCACCAATATGTAATGAAACTATTTTGGTAGCGAACGTATCCAATATCTTCTAAGTTCAAGGTAAAAAAAATAATAAAATAAAATACGCTAAATATAAAAGTTCAGGAACAAAACATATCACTAACTGTTTGGGATTTGCAAAAGTAATTTGATTATTTTAAACCGATTTTTTTTCAATATCTATAAGGCGCACTTTTCCTTGTAGGATTTCAGGGACTAATTTGGTCAAATTGAGAAAATCCTTTCAAAGGTATCTGACTGATTCCCACGCAATATTGCAAAAGGGGATATTTTTAATGTTATCAGAGAAAAGATTGGCTTGACCGCGGTTGGTCGGAGTGAAAAGCGAAAGATAACTTTTTTAAGATAGTACATTTGGAAACGGTATACCTTGTCTAGATAAATTTGTTTATATGAACTAGCTGGAATGCCAGAGACCTACAGAAGTTGACCTTTTAAATCGGTATATTTTTAATAATATGGGGGGCAGCTGTATGATTTTACAGCGAAAAATTTCTACCGTTTAACGTTGGTCATAATTAGTTGATTGTATTTGCCCCTAAGCGTTTTGTCAGTTCGCCAAATGCAAAGCACTCTATTGGTTCCTGTTTCTGGACGTTTGAAGGATCGTCAAAAAAAACAAAAAGAGACATCGTTGTTAATGATTTCACACGAGGGTTATTCGTGCCTGTAATGTTCATACAAACACCTTTGAATGGTACATTGTAATAATAGTTAGCTAAAGCACAGATTTATAATCAGTTTTGCGTTTTTCTTAGTGGTATTAAGCAAACACAAAAGTTCTCAGGCAATTCTTACGAAAAAGATTCGAATTCTCTGTTAAATTGACTTTAATGTGCTTTTGCATTCTTTCGATATCGAAAATTTTGTGCCAATCTATTTCGCTGATACAAATAACACATGGCCTGAAGATTTGCTTTTGTATCTATCACTGAATCATTCTACGATTTGAATTGCCTTTCTAAATAGCCAAAAATGGCAATGTTTTTAGCATTGAAAGGATAACTCTAATAAAAACAGACGTAAACTGCATCTGGCAAATCGATCCTTCAACCAAGACTAATGATGAACGGAGCAGATTTTCGCTTCATTATCATCAGAAAGATATTGACGAAGGAAGTGCCATCAGATAGAATTTGAATTGTCCCTGGGATTGTCTCGTTCATACAGGATGTGGTTTCAAATAGTGATTGAAGTTCCTGTACAAAAAGCGATGAACCTTGATGATATTTTCTTTTCGTACATAATTTGTTGTGGAATCGAACCCACAGTAAATTTCGCTCCTTATCGCTTTTCAAATCATTGACCCTCACATTCCTTAGTGTGCCAAAAATTCCGAATTTCATTAAAAAAAAATAGAAAAAGACAAAAACTCAAAGAAGACCATGTCAAAGTACTGCTCAAGAGGTTTCATTTGAGCGGACACACTGTTGCACTACATGGGCCCGGCCTGCGCTCTTTCCAAATGTAATCACCTGCTGAAACATGTTTAGCCCAATATTTAACTGCGAATTGACTTTTCTGTCTCTCGTTTGTAATTTGGAAGAATATTTCTTTACGTCTGTTTTAGGACATCATCGTACGATCTTGCCAATCTTACCACACCCCCATTATACTAATGTATGCATTAAGCTATTGTCTATTTTTTTTTCTGGCACAAAATTCGACAAAACCTCAACGCGTCAATACAAATGTTATCAGTATATGCAGCTAATTTTAAAAGGACGCCTATATTTTTGACAGATGTACTCGTTAATGGCTCCATTTTAACTTCCTGGGCGGCAGTCAGTTTACAGTCGTGATAACCTCGTAGAAATGATGTCTTAAACTGTAGCTCGATTTGAGATAAAACCCCATTTTCTGCGCACAGCAGCTATACTCCTGACACTAAATAAAGGTGACAAATCTTTCGTTGATGAGGGAGATTCCCACCGCTGTTATTACCTGGCAACTGAAAAACACTTTAATTTGTCTAGGATGCAGCGAGTAACCCAAATTGTTAAGAGATGTCGTGGTATCGATTTCATGAAAATTGTTACCATGCTGTCCCACACAGGCTGCAGAAAGTTAAAGCAAGTGTCACAAAATGCAATCAGAACGACTTTTCCATATGCTTTAAATAAAGTATATTAAGACGTGTCAGAAAACGCAAATCGTATATCCGTTTCTTAAGTTATTTCAGTAGTGTAAGAAAACAGAACAGATCCATTTGTAAGAAGACGCTACGAAAGCGTTGTAGACGAAATAAAGATAGCAAATGAACCATTTAATGTGATTCAATTTACGGGTTTGAAGGACCAAGGAGGATGGAATTTGCCTGGGGCTTTTTGATTTGACATGTGATAAAAAGGTGCGAGATAAGCAAGTTTTGATAGGGCGAACAGTGTTCATTGATATTTTTGAAATTTAAATCTTCTGATGTTTGGAGGAGCGAACAAGAAGCTTGTAACTTAAATATTGAAGTTTTTGAAAAATAAACAAACAAACAAATATAAACGAAACAAAGCAAAACAAGAGGAAATAGCAAAAAAACTATTTTGTGTCAACATAATTTAATAATAGTTTTATTCCTTAGGTGTTAGCCTCTAGACAATACAAAATTTTATCAGCTAGTAGTGTTGTGAATCGTGCTTTCCTTTGCAAAAGCCAAAGCAAACAGCTCAACAAATTCTGGAAACCAATGTTGATTTGTGAAGTTTAGGTTCCGGTCAGTGCGGAAAGAAATCATGTTATCAGCTGTAGAAGATTAAGTTGTTAACCTACTGCTTTGATTTTGCGCCTGGCTGATGGGGAAACAGAAAGACTTACCCTGACCATAATATTTTCTTCTTATATTCACTTAACGAAATGCGGTTCTTATCAAGACGTGTAAATTGATAAGAACTGATTTTGTTTTCTGGCGTCAGACTGCTGGGTATGCTCTGCTGACTACAGAATTTTTATGAACTGCTACACAAAACGTCGAAATCTTTGAAAATCGTAAATCACTTGTTCTTATTTTTCTGTTCGATGTTTTCACGTTGCAGGTCAACGGAACAGATCTCTCAGAAGCGAGTCACGCTACAGCTGTGGAAGCTATCAAGAGTGCCTCTGAACCGCTGCATATTCTGGTGAAACGCAAGCGAACCGACGTGATACCCCTTATGCAGTACGTCCCCGAGGTGATCTCATCTGGAACACAGACAGATCTCTTCCTTTCTCAAGAAATAGAGAGTATGGACACGGATAGCGGAATACACGACAGATACAGCCCTCGACAGGATTTGTTGAATCCCTTCGAGAAATCACTTGACGACGGAACAAGTAGTTCCGAATGCTCACGCCGTCGTTTAGAGTCATTCTGCAGAGACGATGTAGAAAATCTGCGGTCGACAAGCGAGAGCTTGCCGAGCTCTGAGAACATTGTCAGTAGTGAGCAGGGGACATTGCCTCGAGTCACGTTCGCTGTAAAAGATGTTAATTACGTGGACAATGTAGATGAGAACTCAAACTGTAGGTTGGAAGGACAATCGTACGTGACTGCAGTTTCTGACGAAATATATTTTGACCCTGAGTTCGACTATGAATATGAGGTGAGTATTGGTTGATTACGTCACAGTTTGACGCCTAAGAGTTCGAGAAAATATACTTGCCATAACAGTATTCTCGAAAACAAGGCGCAAGGCGTATCAGGGGCACCCAACGTCAATTTTCGTAAAATATCTGTTCGGAACATGATTTGAGATCTAGAATTTTCGGAACATTTGTTGTGAAATTTCTTGCTTGCCTGCCTCTCCTAGGATTTTCGAACATCTAAAAAATGGTATAATTGCCCAGTTTAACGGATTTTTACCCTGAAAAGGTCACCTAGAATTTTCGGGAGCCTTTTTTCTGGCTCCCTATAATTTTCGGATCACTAGACTTTCAGCTAAGAAATCCGAACAGATGAAAAATTTTTAGGGGATAAAAATATGCCCACATCTACCGTTTAAATACTAAAATTCGTTTAACCATCCTATGTTTAAGTGGTTTTGAACTATATTCTCGATGGGTGCCGCTGGCGCATAGCAAAGCCTTCCTACATCCGGTGCCCCGTTCTAAGTGGTGTAATTATTTGAATGATGCGTGATAATGGACTCAGAGAAAACTCCACGCCTTTATAACCTTGACCAAGAAGTACTGTCCGTTGGCTTTCAACAGAAACATTTCATTGAGGGTCCCTTAACAGACAGTGGTAAATGCCTTCTTTTCCTGCTGATTTTACCAGGAATTTCCGAAGGAGGGTCGAAAAGCGGTGTTGTGAATGTACCGGTTGATAACCAATATTTTGAAAAGAATTTCAAGAGTTGATCTTGGCCTTCTGAAGAAGGTCGCGCGTACACGTAAAAGTTGAATCTCTCTTAACTTGCTTTTACGCGCGACCTTTCATACGTTGCTTCTATTTTGTCTATTTATTTTTGGCGCGGAAATTTACATGCGTGCGCATTCGCGCGGCCTTTTATACATTACCTATATTTTATTTCTTGCTTAACCCTAACCGTAATTAACCCGTAGAAAAATACGCTGCAGTGGAAATCCACCCTTAGCATGGCTGCCACAGATCAGGAAATGGTCAGGGCAAAAATTTTCTTTTAATGTCAGGGAAAAGTCAGGGAAAATTCAAGTCTTGGAAAGAAGTTAGGGAAAAGGGAAATTTTAAGAGTACATATTTATTTTCTACTGTATTTTAAATTCTTTTGTACATTTTACGGACACGAATCATGTTGTATTGGTAGAATATTGTCCACGAAATTGAACGCATGCTGATGTTGGGTTTTCGAGAAAAACAATCGTTTTTGCACATATTGTCCAGGAACTATATCAATTCATGTACACTGAACGTGACTTGCTGAAAGCATTAAACAATGGCAGCGAGGGAAGGATTAAGTCCATTTTCGGGACCAAATTATAAAATTGTTAATTCAGTTGGTCAGGGAAATTTTAAGTTTGTCAGGGGAAATTCAAAGAATTTCAGAAACCCATGGATGTGGCATCCATGTTAGGATTGTTCAAAAGGGGTTGGGAAAAATCTTAGATACGCAAGACTAACGCCAAAGAGGTTTCACTTGTATGGCAACACCAAAGGATTTCATCCACAGATGCGAAAGTTAGAATGACAAACCATCGCACAACAACACATGATTTAAGTCCTGGTGTCGGCCCGATTTGTTTTACGACCTGTCGATCCACGTTTACTATCCTGGCCTTTTGAACCGAAGGTCCAGTCCGCTAATCTTTATGTGTGTTTGTTTTGACTGAATCCGTTCCAGGAAATAACTCTCTGGATAGCAAACAGTGATCTAGGATTAACATTCTGTTGCGGGGAAGAAGATGAATCCACGGTACATGTGTGCGAGGTAAGCTAATTGATTAACTGGAAAATGAGAAAGAAAACTTTGGATCTGGTTACGCGACCGTTTTGTACTTTAATTACACAAAAGTACGAAGCATTACACTCTGACCGCCATCGTTACGTAACTGAAAGCGCTGTACTGGCAACTGTCAACAGTTTCTCTCTTTCTTCCCATTATGATGGGCAAACGTTTTGTGACTGATTCATTGAGCAGAAAAGTTGGCTGCTTGCCTTAACCAGCTAGAGATTCCAGGCCTTGTATTATGAAGAACCGTCTAGAGGCAATTAATGGCGACTCAATAGAAGGCCTCGGTATGTGTGCCTGTCGACTGTGATCTGCGGACTATTATCTTGTTAGTGCCCTCATCGGAGATCTCTTCTGATCACCATAATCTTGTTACTGAGTAAATGTGCCTTGATCTTGTTAGAGTCGTTCATTTAAAAAAACCACATCGCGATCTTGTTTGCATACCACCCACTGTTCTCCTTAGTCTTTGCCCAGGTAATACAACTGAAGTCAAGACTGTTAAGACAAGACTAAAACTACCAGATCTATAAACCAATATTGTTATTCGTCCTGACCAGGGGAAAGCGGTTACTTACATCCCATAACCTCGTGCAATTTTCTATGCCGAACATTCCTTCATTTTTGGCTAATTTGGGAGGGCCTATTCAGTTTACGTTTAAACTTTTTATTTAAGTAAGTGCTTCCGGAATGAAAAAAGCTTAGCCTTGCCGAAATCGTAATCAATCAATAAACCTTTCCCGCATTCCTGTAAACAAAGGAGCGGAATGGAGCGGAATGCGGGAGAGGCCTATTGAGCGTAAATTACCGCCAGTACATTGTTGAAGACTCTATTTTCTATTGTTACTTGTTATACACTTGCTGTCTTAGTAGGTAATGGCTGGCTTGTTTGAAACGTCCGCTGACATATAGGAAGTAGACACCCATGAGCCGGCAAAAACAAAATGTCCCTGACTTATTAAAGTAAATCAAGGTTATTGTGGTCTTTTAATGCCAAAAAAAAGGTTGTCGAAGACGTCTTTGTTCTTGACCGTTAATCTTCCCCGACACCCTTTCGTACCTGCGGAATCACCCTTTTTCTAGAGGAATTCAAAACAAGACCAAATTTGTTATTTCTTTTGACAGATTGATCCCGGTTCCGTGGCATACCTTGATGGAAGATTGACCCTGTGGGATGAAGTTTTAAAGGTATGAGATATTCAGTGAAGGCATCAACTAGTTCTAAACTGTTACACGGAAAAACCCTCTTCATACGGACACCACAGGGACAGAGCCATGTGTCCGCATTACAAAGGCATCCGTATTATAAGGGTAGGAATTTGGTAACCTTGGGTATCTTGGCCAAAAAAGTCAAGAAACTGTTCGCTATTGAGAGGTCCCTAGGTTGTGCTTAACTTCTACGCTAACTGGCAGCCACACCTTTAAAATCTAAATAAAATGCGTCTGCGAAGAGCTAGACGCGGTAAATCGGTAGAAAACCTATAGTAGCAAGGCGAGTTCCTTTCATACACTAAACACGAGCTGTGAGTGTTTTAACGTAGAAATACAATTTGAAGGCGCAGTTTCACAAACTTTAGACGCCCAAAGTGAGAAAAGTCGGAACTGCTGAACTACGCGATACCGCTGTTTATAAAAGGAAATCGCGATCGAGCCGCACTTGTTGGAGTAATTAACGTGACTGCAACTGTTCATTTGTTTCCGCAGATCAATGATGCGCCTGTTACGCACATAAGTGATATAGAACCATTGGTTTATGAATCATCCGAGACTATCAAGTTTCTTGTAGCTCGGCCGGCTCAAGAGGTTTGTACATCATCGAAACATTGCTTTAACCCTTTAAGCCCTTAGAGTGATCAGCATCAAATTTCTCCTTGTAACATCAATGCCTTGTAAAACAGAGTGGTCATGAGAATTATGGATATGATCTCTCAAGATGAATTTGCTTGATATTTTAGAAACTTCTCCCCAATACTTCTGTAGCAAATCAATAAGGGCAACAAATGAGAATTCAAATTTTGATCTTAGGGTTAATTATTACTGTTACTGTGTCACCTGTGAAAATAGATTTTCCATATGAGGTAGTCGGGGCTGTTCCTACTAAAAGTGAGTCTAAAGGAATAAAAAGCTTTCGTGGGATAAGATAAGACAGGATATTCAATTTAACTTAAGTGCACAGGTTAACCAATCAATATGGCATGGTATCCTGTGGCTTTCGCCTCTGCTTTGGCTTGCGTTGATGCCTCATTCCTGTCGCTCTCGTCATTTGATACATGGTAACAGATGAATTAGCTAAGCGGACTATGTTAAGTAGGAACATTTTTATTTGAATTCCTTTGGCAAACTTTAAGTGAGATTAAGGATTCCTGGTGCGCCTACTTCGAGATTTAGTTTGCATTGAAAGAGTTTAAAACTGTCGATGAGAGGAACAGAGACAAGTTATGAGAGTGTTTTTTTTTTAATTTTGGTCTGATAAATGATTATGACATTCGGTGGAAATATTATAAAATCACGGAAAAAGGCACAAAATGTTTTGTATTTTGTTTGTCCGCACTTAGTTAACGGAAGCAATACTTTTTTCTCTCCTCGTAATAACAGCGTGGCCAGTAGTTACATTTTCTTTGTAAACTCCGTCTTATAACAGAGGGGAATGTTCATAATCTGTGTAAAAGAAATTTCTGCACGCAATATTATTGAGGATTGCGTGTTTGTATGTATTTTCAAAACACAAATCTGTACCTTTATCAATAAAACCCATTCTAATACGGCAAGGTGTAGAGCTCAAGTTGCTTTCTAATAGCGATCATTTTGTCGACTTAAATTGTTTTTCTTAAGCAGCGTCACGGAATTGTTGTTTGTCAGCCCTGTAAGAGGACGTGATTAATTTTTTTTTTATTTGTAAGAGGTTTCCAACCTTGCCCGCAAATGTGAAATTTTATATCGCAGAATTATAGAACTGGTCAATGGCTGTTCGTAGACCTTTATGTCGTGCACTTGACATAATTGGATTCTATGTTCTTTCGGTTTTCTCTTTATACGTAAAAAGCATTTCACAATGGATATCGTCTTAATGTTAATCCACTGTTAAACATCTATTTTTAATCCTTAGCAAAACTACTGAATGCTACTATACGATGAAACAAAAAGTTTTCAAACAATATACCGTGTAAACTTCTGAAACTTGCGTTTCTTGCGAAAGTCTAGTTTCAAATGCCTGGTACTGGTTTATATCGCAACACAAGGTCGAAAGTCGATAGTGTCTTATTTGATAAAGAAAAATCGTATGTTGATTGAAAAGATCAAAAGCGTTGATTTAAACAGTTTCGGAAGCACGTTTATTATACGTCTGGTATGTAAAAGTAAAAACGTGAAGCATGAAGGAAGCTGGAAAAATGGGTCGCGTCGGCGAGAACAAGCGAAGGCAAGCTTAATTGCGCTTTTGGAGGTCTTTCTGTTACAAGTTTACTTTAAAAAGTCTTTCTTTGTTTTAGGGGGTGTTTTGGCGTCTAGACAATATTTTCATTAGATACTATGAATAGACTTTAAGTAAATCTTTGTACACTACTTATGCTCAAATTTATCACAAGGCTGTGCCATAGGGCAAATGTTTTCAGACTTAAATGCAAAGATCTCGATAACTTTAACTTTTAGAGCATGCGCATTCCTTTGGTGTAGTACTGTATTTATATAGAGCCAGACATGGTGGTTCTTGCTAACTCAGTATGCGTTCTTAATTTAAGTTCAAATAGCTGTTTACTATACTCTAAAACTACTCTTAAGCGAAGCTGTGAACTTAACGTCCGTTAGTCTTAGTGTTTAACAGTATCAAGTAGCTTGATCGTGTTCAACGTATTTCCTTTTGGGTGAAAAATTCCAATAACTGTCTTATCCTTAAAAAGCTTTGCGGACAAAAAATTAACTTCTTACTGAAAGCAAATTAGATTACATTTCACAGAGCCGGCAACCTGCCTGCCGAACTCAGACAAAGTTAATCTCGTTGTAATTCGCCTTGGTATTTAATGCGAAAATGGTATAAAAAATAATTAGCCGCAATTTTTTAATGCTGATTAACAGTGTTAAATCCAATTAAAATACCAAAGGTGAAATCGTTCGTTTAACAACCATGATATCGATCTTTGTAGTGAATGGAGGCCTGTAAGGAGAGAACCGATAGGTCACATTGTTTTTTGCTCCTTGTGTTTCCAACATAATTAAAGGTACTTATCTGTTCATAGGTGTTACCCCTGGGGGAAAATGGGATTCCTTGATGTAACCCGCGGGGGATGATTTACATTGGTTGCATTAATATTATAGATAGTTAATTAAGCCAATTTATTCTTGTGTCCTCTAGGTGCAAGCCACTCTCATAGGTAGCGAGGGAAGCCAGGACTGGAATTTTATTGACCCCATAGACGAAGATTTAGGAAACTTTAGAATTGGCGTAATCAAGGAAGAAGAAGAAGACGGAAAAGATGAGTTAAATAGAAACTTGACGAACGGGTATAAGTGTGAGAAAGACAGTGGAGTCGGGAAAACAGACGAGAGTACGAAAAATGACGAAAGCTCCGAGCAGGACTTCGGAGAGGACGCTCTTATGCCACAGAACTCTTGTAAAACTCCAGATGCCGATGTTACTAATAGCTTTGCTATTGGTGATGCAAATTCACTGGAACGGAAGAGCAGTTCAGATTCTTCACCAAGTAGAGAGGAACGAGCGTTTTCTCCCATACGGTCGGGGGAAAACAAGTCACCTATCAAATCGACCCAAGTCGATAAAGGCTCTTGTCGGAATAACAAAGAACGTTCTGAAAGCAGCTCAAAACGCCGTAGTAGTGAATCTTCAAGTAAAAACTGTCTTTCTCCTACGCGAAATGGCGGCTCGCCACCAAGAAAGGATAAAGAGAGAGGAAAGGAACGAAAGAAAACGCGGGATTCTCATAAGGATAGATACGGTGATGAATCCCGCGGGGAACGCGATCGTGATCGTGAACGAGAGCGTGACCGTGATCGAGATCGTAGCCGGCACGCAGATCACAGGCGAAGTAATAAGCTCGGCAATGTAAGCAGGACAATTCGTGCGTCTTACATAAGAGCTGTAAATAAAGACTCTACTCAACACATAAACTGGATCGGTGAGTCGGACTGTTTTGGTGGAAGATCCGATCATCAAGACCATCGCAGCAAAAAGAAGACTAATTTAAATGACAATCAGTCCCTGAACGGGTCTCAACAGAACATTGAGTGGAAAGTGCGCATGTCCAAGGATGGCAGTCAAATTTTTGTTCGCAAGCGGCCTGCCACCCCCGCTAGACAAGCCAGAAACAAACTTCTCCGCGAACGTGCGCAAAAAATCACGGACGAACGCAAAGGCTTGACTACGGATGATGACACGCACACAGTCTATCAAGGCCGCTACTGGCCGCGCGAGGAACGGAGACGACATCTAGAACGGGTGCGGGAAGCGCGCAAAAAGAAATTTCAAAAACTCCAACAAATTAAGGAGGCTGAAAGCCCGCACACGGGCAGCGGTTCTGAGAGTGGCAAAGGACGTAGGGATTTAATAGTGGAAATGAGCCACAGAAGAATGAACAGGAATAAGCAACAACATTTTGATGACTTTACGACTGTTCGGGAGTATCTAACCCAGCGTAACCCGGACGGGTCTCCGGTTGGTCCGATACACGTAACTACCGTTTAATACTGACCTTAAAATAAGGCATTTTGATGGTTAAACGAGCGAAAATAATATTCTTATAGTTAATTTACCCTTCACAAGGGCTGGAGTTGTCGTTATTGTTAGTAGATTTACTTTATCTTTTGCGCGTTGTGTATACTAAAGTTAAAGTTATGGAATACCTTGTGGTAATTGTTTTTTAACAATACCATCTGTGACTTATGTTAAAAAAAAAAATTCTCGCGCAAACAAAAGTTTTTACAAACCTTCTTACAACTGTCATTGGTGTTCCAGTTAGCCCTAAATAAATCGATAAAATATATTTATCCGTCGAGGCAAATATTTGGATAGAAGCGTTACGCAATCCTTTTCGCGGCGTCGCGTGACACGAGGTTAGAGACTGAAGACGCAACGTTATTTGTTGCCACACGATTTCTTGTTCATTGTCGGAAGCTTGTAATTTATTGCCACCCAGTTGTATCTATGTAAAAAATAGTAAAAGATGTAGTATTATGTGAAACAAACAAATTTAACTATTGTCAGATTTAGTAGAATTGAGGCTTTTTCCATTTCTCCAAGTGGGAAGCGAAAAGGATGTCAAAATGGGTGTTCTTAAAGCTTTCTGGTTTCAGTTCTCCTTTGGGCAAGTGGATCTTTAAAGAAGAATTGAACACAGTTCCCTTTCATCAAAAGATCGAATACACTCGACGTGAATACTACTTTTCTCTTTTTTAACCGAAATATGCAGTAGCACTCGATGGGAAAAGTTGACCCTTATCTCCAAAAAGTGCAAAAAATCAATTTAAGGAAAAAAAACCCAGATTTCATGTCACAGCTGAATTAATGAAAAAATGGCACCATGTGAAGTTACGAAGAGTCTTCATCCAAATGGTCGCATCAAGAGACATCGTCCTACAAATTGAAAAGTTTTATTCGGCTTCAGTATATATACCCTATTTAGTCTTTTTGATGTACAAAGACTATAGTGTTATTGGTTAATGGGTAGAGCTAGTTGTGTTCTTTGCGACGTAACCCGGGACTGGGGCTATAGACTTTGTATTTAGTGCCCTAACCCAAACGTTAACTTCGCGTTACAACCACATTTTGTCCATTTCACGATAATTTTTAGTATTTTAGTGTATGAAATTTGGGATTCTTTTTGTCTTTTGCCCTTTCCTGGAAATTATTTAAAAACGCGTTATTACGCATTCTTTCTTTCTTTGTTGCTTCTGAAAGTTTCATTGAATTTAAACATCGCCAGATTAAGCTATTATGATACAAATGAACAGAGTTGTTGTTACTTTCACTTCAGCTAGTTCCTTGTAAAAAATGTAGCTTGTTGGTGAAAGTACGCTATCGTAGCACAGAAACTCGATTTTCTTGGTGTTCTTTGTCGAGCAAAGATTTAAATAATTTATGTTATTGCGAATTTGTAAATAAAATTTATTGAACAAGAGCACTGAACGCTTCACTTCTTGGTCAGTGTCTAGTACTGTTTGCCTTCAGTTAAGTAACTTTTTACCTTGGGCGCCAAATGGGACTATCCTTTGTTAATGGATACTGCATCAAGAGACCAACGATAGGACTATTGTTGCTTATTATTCATTGAAAATATTTCGCCGTTTCTAATTGACTCCATTTCCCTGGTTAATTTTTCATAACTAACGGGCGCTTACCATGTTTGGAAGATTCGAGCAATAAACCATCGATTCGATGGTATATTTGATTGGAAACGAGGTCGATCGATGGTATATTTGATTGGAAAAGAGGCTTCATGGGCAATAGATCATCTATCAAAATGGCATTCACGGCCATCTGAAGACGAAATAGCATATTTCTAACAAAAACTGAACGGAAGAAATGCAAAAATACACAAAACATATTGCTCAATGAATGTTATCTTCTTTTTGAGGAGTATTTTCAAGAAAACACCAACTGTTTATATCCTGAAACAGCGCCGAGAAATTGGTCAAAGTTTAGAAAAGAGTCTACGAGGAGGTAAGCTTGTTAAGAACTTTTGAGTGAATACAAAACAATTATTCGGCTTTCGTACGTTGTGAAGAATTATGCAGATCTCAGAGGATGTTATCCACCTCGACCTTCAGCCTCGGTGGATAACATCCTCCTCGATCTGCGTAATTCTTGACATCCTACTCAGCCTCATTCAATAGAGCGGTTTTCACTTGACTGTCGTAAAACCAAAACCAAAGTAAATACACTAGCCAACCAAAGGGCGTAGTAAAACCAAAACCAAAACCAAAACCAAAACCAATCCCTTTCGACAGTCAAGTGAAAACCGCTCTAATTACTAATACCACGACTAATGACGAAAAGCTTTTTTCTGGCCCAGGGATGCTATGGTTACAACCTATAATATGACGTAACGACAACAGGGGGTTTTTCACACTTAATCATGCTTGCAAAAACTTTCATTTTCTCCCAAAAGCAGCAAACTTAATTCTTCCAAGTCTTCTTGAAGGATACCATTTTTAAGCTTCGCGCTTATTTTTCAGTTAAAACCAACATGGCGCCCGGCTTGTCGTCACTATCCACAACACCAGAATCCTCTTTTAATCTTTAATCTTTAATAAGTATACTCCTAAAACAGTTTTAATTGACTATACTAGGAGTTTTAAAAGCAAAACTTAAATAAATGAGTAAATAAAAAAAACATACACATATACACACGTAATTGAACACGCTATAAAATGGGCCTAATAAAACAACCCAGTGTAAACGGAATATGAATAACACCAATGTCAAGGGGGAGGATAGTGTATGCGACGAGTCCTGCCCCCTCCCGCCCCCCCACGAAAAAAAAAAACATCGTCTCAAGTCAATAGGAACGTATTTCAAACATGACTGAAGAAGACTCTTCAGTCTGACTTTTCTCATTTATTTATTGGTAAAAGTTCACATTGAGAGATCTATGGCTCCTCTTCACTCCTCTTGATTAAAGAAGCGCGTCACCCAGTCCCTTTCTTGACAGATTGCCGAGAAGGAATGGGTACAATCAGTTCAAAATGGCGGACAAACACGACAAAAATGGCTTAGATGGAGTGATACGGGATTTTTATGGGTAAACTTAGTTTCTGCTGGTTAAGAATGATTATTTTGACAATTTAAAGCTGAAAAGGAAGTTTCCCATAGAAAATGTGCCCTGAGATTCGCATACCAATTATTTTAAGCGAGAAAATGAGGCAAAGTTGATTGAAGATGGCCCTTTTGGCCAAACATTCATGTAAACGACTGGACAAATTCATTTCAGCACCGTTGAAATTCACCTCAGTCTTGTACAGGACATCTCCATCGACAACTAAATCAACAGTTTCTTACATTTCCCTGAAAACTGTTGCAAGCATTCAAAATCGTACGCGCTCCCTGGTGCAGGCCTTGCGAGCTGCCAAAAACGAACAGTCAAGATTGATTCGCTTGGAAGAATTCAACGACCATATTCTTCGCTATCAAGGTGTCAGTAGAAGCCAGGCCATTCGAGAGAAGGCGATAAGTACTCTGTTGGATATCAGAAAGAAGGGCAACAAGGAGGTGTGCAAAGAAGCTCAAAAGGCGTTGGTCTTGCTTGGCTGGGTGGATCCTGTTAAAGGAACAGGGATCAAGGTTTTGTCCATCGATGGCGGAGGATCCAGGTAAGTTTGAAGATAAAGAAAGCTGCGATTGGGTGGTGGGTGTTGCAGAGGAGAGACATAAATAAGTCATTTCCGAGTTGCCTCAATACTCTGTTTCAAAACATGGCTAAGAGCAAAGCCAATGATATGATAATTGTTTTTTATTCTTCTGCAAAGAAAACTCATTTCCACCAGGCCCCGGTTGTTCAAACATTGACTAGTGCTCTCCACTGGATAAATCACTATCCAGCAGATAAGTATTTTGGGGAAACCAATTGCACTATCCACTGGATAGAGATTTATCCGGTGGATAGCGCTATCCACCTTTTGAACAACTGGGGCCAGGAGGGTTATGCACTAAGCATTGTTTTGAATGTGAAAGTTTTTTGAACTCAGAAATGGCCTATTGGCTATTTTACAATGGGAGGCTCACTCAACCCAGTAAAACGGGGATAGAGGCTAACTCTGCTGACTTTGCTGTAATGAAACATCATTATAGCGAACAAATTTTGCCAGTCCCTTGGCACCTTGCTATATCAAGGTTCCACTGTACACTGGTAGATATTTCTTTACACACAATCCAAAGTAATACCATTATGGGTAAAAATAGATGTTAATAAGATCATTGCAGTTGAAGACTCAACTCATGCAGGTGTGAAAAGAAAACCTGAAAACTTCAGGCTTGCTGTGATTCAAACCCTGACCACTGTGATACTATGGCAGTTCTCCAACCAGTTAAGCTGGGAAGCCAACTGGGAGCCAGTCATTATTAAGTCTTTCGTAAATTATTGTAAACAGGGTATAGCATGCATGAGTAGAGATGTTTGCAGATATCTAGTTTGTCATTACTCAGGTCATTTTCTTTTCTATGCTGTTGAGGGGCTTTCTTTTTTTCTTTTCTGGGTAGAGTAGTTGAAAGGATAGTGGGTAAAACTTCAGTGTAGTTTGTGACCTGACTTACAGTTACTAGCAGGATTAGAACTTTAATGACTCTTCAAACACTTCTGCCCTTGTTTCCATAACACTTTTCTCTTTTAGTTTCCTGTCCCCCTGTTTCTCACTCTTTTCTTGCTAGTACCTTTGACTTATCCAAGTCTTGCATGCAAGTCTTTTCAGTGATTATTGTTTTATTTTACCATAGATCACAGTCCCTCCTCTGCCGCTATTTGGGAATGAAAGTATTATATCAATCTAATTTCTCTTCTACTTTTTCTTTAACAGAGGCTTGATGGCCATTGAAATTCTTAAAAGAATCGAAGATTTGTGTAACAAAGAGATTTATGAACTGTTTGACCTGATCTGCGGAGCTTCTACAGGTGCTATTCTTGCATGAGGATCCAGGTAAGTTTGAAGATAAAGAAAGCTGCGATTGGGTGGTGGGTGTTGCAGAGGAGAGACATAAATAAGTCATTTCCGAGTTGCCTCAATACTCTGTTTCAAAACATGGCTAAGAGCAAAGCCATTGATATAATAATTGTTTTTTATTCTTCTGCAAATAAAACTCATTTCCACCAGGCCCCGGTTGTTCAAACATTGACTAGTGCTCTCCACTGGATAAATCACTATCCAGCAGGCCCCAGTTGTTCAAACGTTGGATAGCGCTATCCAACGTTTGAACAACTGGGGCCAGATAAGTATTTTGGGGAAACCAATAATGCACTATCCACTGGATAGACATTTATCCGGTGGATAGCGCTATCCACCTTTTGAACAACTGGGACCAGGAGGGTTATGCACTAAGCATTGTTTTGAATGTGAAAGTTTTTTGAACTCAGAAATGGCCTATTGGCTATTTTACGATGGGAGGCTCACTCAACCCAGTAAAGCGGGGATAGAGGCTAACTCTGCTGACTTTGCTGTAATGAAACATCATTATAGCGAACAAATTTTGCCAGTCCCTTGGCACCTTGCTATATCAAGGTTCCACTGTACACTGTTAGATATTTCTTTACACACAATCCAAAGTAATACCATTATTGGTAAAAATAGATATTAATAAGATCATTGCAGTTGAAGACTCAACTCATGCAGGTGTGAAAAGAAAACCCGAAAACTTCAGGCTTGCTGTGATTCAAACCCTGACCTCTGTGATACTATTGCAGTTCTCCAACCAGTTAAGCTGGGAAGCCAACTGGGAGCCAGTCGTTATTAAGACATAGTCTTTCGTGAATAAACAGGGTATAGCATGCATGAGTAGAGATGTTTGCAGATATCTAGTTTGTCATTACTCAGGTCATTTTCTTTTCTACCCTGTTGAGGGGCTTTCTTTTTTTCTTTTCTGGGTAGAGTAGTTGAAAGGATAGTGGGTAAAATTCCAGTGTAGTTTGTGACCTAACTTACAGTTTACTAGCAGGATTAGAACTTTAACGACTCTTCAAACATTTCTGCCCTTGTTTCCATAACACTGTTCTCTTTTAGTTTCCTGACCCCCCTGTTTCTCACTCTTTTCTTGCTAGTACCTTTGACTCTATCCAAGTCCTGCATGCAAGGCTTTTCAGTGATTGTGTTATTTTACCATAGTTCACAGTCGCTTTTCTGCTGCTATTTGGTAATGAAAGTATTATATCAATCTAATTTGTCTTCTACTTTTTCTTTAACAGAGGCTTGATGGCCATTGAAATTCTTAAAAGAATCGAAGATTTGTGTAACAAAGAGATTTATGAACTGTTTGACCTGATCTGCGGAGCTTCTACAGGTGCTATTCTTGCATTCATGCTAGGGATCAAGNTCTATGCTGTTGAGGGGCTTTCTTTTTTTCTTTTCTGGGTAGAGTAGTTGAAAGGATAGTGGGTAAAACTTCAGTGTAGTTTGTGACCTGACTTACAGTTACTAGCAGGATTAGAACTTTAATGACTCTTCAAACACTTCTGCCCTTGTTTCCATAACACTTTTCTCTTTTAGTTTCCTGTCCCCCTGTTTCTCACTCTTTTCTTGCTAGTACCTTTGACTTATCCAAGTCTTGCATGCAAGTCTTTTCAGTGATTATTGTTTTATTTTACCATAGATCACAGTCCCTCCTCTGCCGCTATTTGGGAATGAAAGTATTATATCAATCTAATTTCTCTTCTACTTTTTCTTTAACAGAGGCTTGATGGCCATTGAAATTCTTAAAAGAATCGAAGATTTGTGTAACAAAGAGATTTATGAACTGTTTGACCTGATCTGCGGAGCTTCTACAGGTGCTATTCTTGCATTCATGCTAGGGATCAAGAAGATTCCGCTGGAGGAATGTGAGCGTATCTACAGAAAACTCAGCATGGATATATTTGAACAGAATACTCTGATTGGAACAGGGAAGTTGTTCTGGAATCATGCTTATTATGACACTACCAAGTTAGAACAGATCCTCAAGTAAGTTCACTTTGTTATCTAGGAGACTTTAATCATGAACAAGCAAGGGAAATGTGCCGCTGTGATGGGTATGGTTTTCAAGCAGTTTACTCTAGGATAGGGTATATAAATCAGAGCGTTTGGGTCTAGGATAGGGTATCATTTTTCAGGAAACTGATCAGCTAGTTGAAGATTTTATCTAGACTAGGGATTGTGGTATAAGGTTTTGTTTTGGTTAGACTACTGTGCTAGTGACCTCAGTAGTTTCTGGAAAACAGCTACTCTATGATAGGGGAGATTTGGAGAGTTTACTCTAGTATAGTTCAGCTGAACTAGCTCTGGTATAGTTTAAGGATTCCAGGGTCCCAGCGGCACATCCCCACCCAGAAATTCCTAAAGCAACCCCCCTCCCCCCCCCCGGACTAACCCATTCTATCTTTTGTTTCCATTTCTAATATTCCCATTTCCTGGGGCTATTCCCCTATTCAGCATTCCACAGTCTTTTTACTAACATCCAATCTTATGCCCCCAACAGAAATGAAAGTGGAGAGGCAAGGCTAATAGATTCTGCAAAGGACAAAACTGTGCCAAAGGTACTTTATTTTCTAGTTCAGCACCCAGTATGTTTTCTGTTATAGTAAATGAAGATAAGTTAACTGTTATCATTTTAGCTTTCACTCAAAACATCTGCAATAATAGATTTGTTGTTGTGGCTTCCCCTGTCACAAATTAACTCCATAGTTGAAGTTATTTGAGTCCTAATCTTCACCATGTTATGCAGAGCCACAGCTAGCGGGGAAGGGGGGGCCCAAGGGGGGCAGCTGCCCCCCCCCCCCTTGACCTGTTGAGCAAGACACATCAAGTCTTTGGATGGGTTTGTTTTCTTTAGATTCAGTTATTTTGATTATAGTGACTTGCAATTTATTGTTTGCCATTTTTATATTCGAGGTCGATATTTTGGAGACATATCTCATGACAAGTGCTGAAAATAGCATTTAGAAGCCTCCAAATTTGAACATTTTCTGGGTAAGGATACCCCCAGATCCCCCTACAAGGCTCATGCCTTCAGCACTTGCAATAATGCCCCTGTTACAAAAAACCTAGCTACGGCCCTGTGTTATGATGCTGCCACTTGGGAGAGTTCAGACAAGTTCCAATATTTAGGGCTATGGTCAGGCAAGACCCATCATATTCACTTGTGAATGTTTTCTAACATATGAACGTTCTTCACAAGGAAGCAGTCATTTGAGTGCTTCTCAGTATTTAAATAAAGAAGCTTTAATTTTTGTTATGGGAGGGGAATAATTACTAGGTCAACAAATCAAAAGAGCCATGCAATAACTCTTGAAATAGGATTATATGTGGATGAAACTCCTCTCCAGACCCATCATGAATAAACTGGATCCCGTTACTTTGCCTGCCTTATGATTTTGAAATACAAAAAAAGAGGTTACACCAGAGCAATTTTTTTAAAAAAATTATAGTGAAAAGGTATTTTTGTTTTTTTTCCAGTCCAGCTTTGTAACAATATTATTCATTTGTATTGTCAGTATAGGTTGCTGCAGTATCCACAGTAGTAAATCACTCACTCCTGATGCCTTTTGTGTTCAGTAACTACACACGCCCATATGGCTCCAACTCTAAGTTCCCTCAGAGCTGTAAGTACAGATTGTGGGAGGCGCTGAGAGCCTCAACTGCAGCACCTGGTTTCTTTGAGGAATATAAACTTGGAAATGATATTCATCAGGTACTAGAAGAATCTAAAACCATTCTTAAATTAAGGTCACCTGGATTCCTAAAGAAACAAAAATTCCACTAAAGAGACAAAAATTTCTATAGTGTCTCCTTTTGTTTAATACATTCAAAAGGTGGCATTTTGAGCACTGTGCTCCCCACCCCTGGAATGTTTGTCCAAGCGGCCCAAGCTGCAGGGAGTAATAAGGGGTGGCTGGGTTTGCAGGCTAACTCTAAGCCCTCTTCAGAGCTATTCAGATGGACAAAGGGATAGTACGTAAACCATCAGCTTCTGAAGCTTTTTACTAAGTCAAATCGATGTCTTGATGGTTGATAAAGCCACATTTTCATGTTCTTTACTCTGGAAAGTTGAGTAAGCAAGCAAGTTGATTGAGTGAGCAACTTGTAGTCTGACCTATCCGTTACGTTATTCACAGGATGGTGGTCTTCTAACAAACAATCCCTGTTCTATTGCTATTCACGAGGCCAGGCTTTTGTGGCCTGATGAGCCATTTCAGTGCATCGTCTCTGTCGGAACAGGGAAATACAAGGGGAGATCTGGGCCGAGTGCCGTGGAGTTCAGCAGTCTTCGTGAGAAACTTTTAAAAATTGTGGCCAGTGCAACAGATACTGAAGGTGAGTTTTGAAAAACAGGAAAGAAAGATCTTTTAAAAAGCTCTTAAGTTTCTTTCCTTTGAGCTCGGTAACTGATCATACTAAATGGTATAAAGGCTTGTGGGTTGGAGCAGTTGGTAACAAGACAGTTATTCAAACTTAAAATAACAAATGTGGAAAAAAATTAGCTTCTAAATGACTGTTTTGCCTGCAAAAAATAGACCCTTCCTCATATTTTTCAACTTTTGACATTGACCAGTTAGGAAAAATTTATAAACACTACTGGAAAGAGCACCTTCAATTTAGTGAAATACCAACTTTGAAAGTGATGTGTCTTACACGAGCAAAGAAAATTTTACAGATATTTGTGTGGTGATGGAGGGGGGAGGAGGTCACAAACTTGCCCTCACCATACAAACGTCTGTAAGATTTTCCTCGACAACTTTGAGGAGCTATATATATATCTTTGTTAGTTTTCAACAAAAAACACTCAAACTTGGCAATTTTACTAATTTTAAGGTGCTCTCAGTGCTCGACACTGACTTTTTTGGAAACTAGGCAATGGGCTTGTAAGTGAAATAAATCACTGGCCCAAGACGGCAAGCCACTGGTCCAAAAAAAGCCCAGGAAAAGACACCAGGGGGTTAGGAACCAGTCTTCTCTATTCCACTTCCTACATACCTTCCGTTTTGCAAGTCAATCATACGATACCTCCACGATATGCATAGCCTGCTTTGTATTTTGCAGAGTTTTAGAAAAGCTATTTTGTCAACTTATTTAACTGGTCTAGGGGCTAGTAGAAGCATATTTTTACTAGCCCAGCCTAAAGTTTCACTAGTCCCGGGCTAGTGGACTAGCGTCAGTGTCAAGTACAGGCTCTTTTTGGCAAAGTTGATGGATTTTACATAACTTTTTAGTGTCAGAAGTTGAAAAAAAATGTGGAAAGGTCTATTAACAAAACATCTCGAGACTGCAGCATTCACCTATAAAGTTTCTGCATAACTGATGAATTCCCAGCTTAGCAAAAGGAGACTCAATCTTTTGAAACATTGAGCCCTGCTTTAAATACTAAAGCAGTTTGAATCATTCCCATGTATGAATTTCAAACTATTTTACTTGCAGCTGTGGACATTGTATTAAGTGACGTTTTACCAAAGTCTGTTTACTTCCGGCTCAACCCAAACATGTCAGCAGATATACCCATGGATGAAGGAAGAATTGAAATGTTAGAACAAATTCAGTTCGATGCCAGAAGACATTTAGAGAAGGCAGATGAGAGTTTAAAGAAATGTGCGCGGGTTCTACTGCAGGACAAAACTTTACTACATCGTTCTTTAGACAAGTTCCGAGTGTGGTATAGAGATACATAAAAATACATTGTCCAAATAGGAAGATATCTTTAATTCAACATGCCAAAAACACGTACTTGCACAAACCATTTGAGTAGACGCAATTCAGGACTTCTTTATGATTTCTGAGTACTGTTTTCTCTCTTTCTATCTTCCATCTACTATTTTCTTCTTTGCTTCCTGTTGCCATGAGATTTTGATTTTCAACTTGCTTACTGGTGTTCGTCATTTAACTTAAGAGATTTTGTTATGCTTAATTCAAAAATGGCGAACCTTGTACGGTGTAATGTTATAGTCAAAATATCACCTTGAAATAATACCATAGTGATGGATAGTTTAAGGGATAGCATTTTTAATCCACTAGGAGGCCTAGGCACATTGCAGCAGAGTTCAAAAACATGTTACCAGTTAACAATTCTTCACTTTGGTTGACTACTTTTATTCCAAATTGGCATCAGTTTATAATAAATCTAATTTTAAATACACTGTATAGTGAAGTTAATCTACACCTGGGTGACTAAGAACCATACGGATTAATCTTTAACATTCCTATTCCTACTATTCCTGGTCAGTAGTGAATCAACTGCTTTTTGTGACAGTTTAAAAACTTGCTTATTATTTTTTATTGTTTTTGCGACACTAATGTTTGACCTACTCCACCTTCTATCCCAAACAAAAATTAAACTCCTGCTCCCATAAAAAGAGTAGGAGGTAACATGAATAATTACCCAATCCAGTGACTAGGACGTATATGATGGTGAAATGAGATTCAAACCATCAAAAATTTAAGATACATGCAGCGAAGATGGTAGCTGAAAACAATATTCTAAAACTGTGGAGTAATAGTTTCTCCAAGACTCAGTTTCTTTAAGGCCCATTAGTGCTGACCAAGCTTTAAATATTATCTGAACCCATTGCTGGGTTAATCTTTTTAAAGATTCCTTTGTACCTTCATTTGGGTATCTACAATTACCAAACACGTTCTAAGATGAAACAATGTTGTCTACAATTTGCTAGCCCACATTGCAGACATCTTCTGTGGGGGTGCGAATGTTTCTGCTTGCCTAACTGCCATGTTAAATTCTAAACCATTGAGGGGTTGCGGCATGAAAGTTTGCTTTTTCTTTTCTCCCAAATCTTTCAGACTATATGTATGTCATAGAGACAAAGATGGCAGCCATGGCAATATGAACATAAACAAGCAACTTTTGCCTGCCCCAAAAATACACCTACAATGTGGGCTAAACCTCTGCTTTACCTTGGGTTGACAGAGCATGACACTACATTATTTTAATTTTAAAACCTATTTCTCAAGAAACTGGGTCATAATAACGTGGAAACTCTCCTTGGAGTAACCTGCTAAATACAGACACTAAAGCCAGGACACAAAGAAAGTCAGTTTTACAGCTTGCCATTCAGACAAGCTGTAGCTAGTAAGAACTAGGCCAAAAGTCATTTCAACTAGCTCCCCCCTAAAAAAGATGAGAAGGATTGACTACAGTTCTTCTGCAATTTGAATTCCTCAAAAATCTTCAGTTAGGAACAAAATTCACTAGCCTAAGCCTAGCAGCAAAATCCACTAGCTGTGGGGTATGAGACACTACTTTCTTTGCACGCTGAACACAACTTGAAGCAAAATTAACGATAAAGACTATGCTGAGAAGTTGAAACATTTAAATGATGCAGCACCACTTATCTATTGTTTCTTACATGGGGGTGTATGTATGAGTTAAAGTTTCACAGTCACTGTTACAAGTTCTCTACTGTTTCTTCATAGCTTCAAGGATTCGCAGAATCTCAATGAAGAGATTAATTATGTCGAGGTAAAGGTTGATAGAGGCCAAGATGTACTCCTCAGGTGACAGTTTATTCATCAGCATGTGTGTGTCAAACACAATGAATGCAGAAAACAGGAGGGCACCCGCAATGGCATACACCAGCTCAAATGTCTCACTGTGAAAGAAAAACTGAAAAAAGAGACAACAATAAGAATAGTCTTCACCATTCAATATAATAGGGACTTTAAGCAAGGATGACGACGACAGCAGTGAAAACGTCGTTAAAAAAATGAATTTGCGTTCTTTCAAACTTAATCATGTATATTTGGACCCGCTCAATATGTCAAATGCAGGCAACTTTTCCCGGAGTTGAATTCTTAAGGATTTTATTCAGGTTCGAAAAGAAGAAGGAAATTTCATCGTGGTATGTTCACGTCCTCCATAAAACAGCAAATTAGGATTGTTTCACATCGTAGTCATGCAGTGGAGGTCAAAGAAATGAACTAAAAAGCGTGATGCGCGTGCAGAGCTTTTGTTTTGATCATTACACCTATTGTTTTTTTGAAGTCGTCATTGTGGTCGTCATCATAGTTGCTTAAGCTCCCTATTTATTTTATTAAGCTCTTACAATGTTCCAGTTAATTCTTTCAAGCGTGGGGTCATGTAGATCATCTGAGGGGTCACCAAGACCATGTGCTAATTTTTTCCGTTATATTTAACTTAACACTTATACGTCATCTGTTGGGTTAGGAAGCCTTCTTTGATGGGTCATTGACCCAAGACCCATCTCTTATCTGGAACACTGTCTTAAATCCACAACAGTTACAAGTTAATAATGTAATACTGCCAAAATTTACGTTGCCCTTCACAAAACGCCTGTTGCAGGTGACCAGAGAAGTCCGCAAACCTGATCTCCAGGTTACTATTATACATGCATGGTACGTTTTTAGCCAGCATTCCTTTAGATTGGACTAAGATATGAATGGAATGCAATTTGATCACACGCGTTTGGACCTTCTTTCACTCATAATCTGATCAAGCAAACGATAACACGTTTCGACCTTTAATCACATGAAACTTACACAAAGCACAATGTTTGAGCAACAGCATTTTGACCATCAATCCATAGATCACCTGTACTCTCTAACCTTTGGTTATCACTATTTATAACTAAACTCCTTGTCATAACATGAGTTTGGGCTGCCTTTGCACATACCTGGAGAAAGCCAGCCAAAATAAGGATCCATAAGATAGTGAACAACCTGTCAAAAAAAAAACAACAAAGACAATAAAATAAACACAACAGGGTTCGTTTAGTTTTTTGGATCCAAAATTCAAGACTTTTTCCAGACTCAAGGTTATGAAAATTAACAGGTGATCAATAGAGACCTTAAAGAAGGCAGGAAATATACAGACAAGATTTAATAAGATTTGACCAAAACGGAAAAAAATTCACTTATAAAGCACTTGTTGTAGCTTTGAAAAAAACTCAAGACTTTTTAACATTTTTTAAGACTTAATCTTCATTTTCCAGACTTTTTCAGGCCTGGAAAATTGCTGCAAATTTCAAGACTTTTTCAAGAATTCATGACTCTGTACGAACCCTGACACAAGCTCGGTCATGGCCTATTAATGATTTACTGATTCCTTTAAATGACGAAGACCAATACATACCCTGCCCCCCAGGAACTGTAATCTCTCTTGCTTTGCAGAGTGTATACTGTCAGAGCCATGGTGGTTGCCATGGTCAGAATAAAGGCTTCCAGCACGAGTACTTGATCATAGAAGGTCACTGTAACAGAGAAATATCAAAAAAAAATTACTGACAACAGTCAGGACAACAGTTAGGCAGAACCACGTAGCAAATTTTCAGTACACTGCAGGGCTACAAGGATTCAAATTCAACGAACTAGGGTCAGTTTAATAAAACTTTTTCACGTGTAATTTACAAGACTTGTAAACTACACCTAGGGTAGCTATTGTTTCCAGACTCTTAAATAATAGCTTTATTTGGAAATTACAAGGTCTTGTAAAAGGTTTATTAAATTGACCCCGGATGTCTGTTTTGTTTACTTATAAACTAAGTAACTATGGATCAAACTTGTAACAGCTGGGAAAATAATTTCCTGACATGTGGTTTTATTGGTAGCACTCTCACTCAGGATCAAACAGTGTAAAGACACTCACCCAGTGTTCCAATAGTGTAAGCCTCTGATAATGTCTGAAATAATAGGCACAAACTTTTAGTATTCTTGATTTCATGTAAACAAGTACGGTTTTGATAGCACTTCATCATAATTAAGGCAATACAACAAGTTAACCAGAGTAACTGAATGTCATCAGTGAAAATAAAATATTATCAGTCCACCTTTCTTTCAATAACAGTTCACTTACAGTGATATAACATTCTATCTGACTCTGAGGTTAAGTATTTTTCATTTTTTGATACGACAGTTTAATAAATTTTGATTCAAAACAAAGTAAGAAAAAAAGCACTAATTATTGCACAAAAGGTTTTTGAGCAGCCTGATGCAGTTCAGTTTTGGCGATTCCTGCAAAAGATGGACTTGAGCTTTTAAAGAATGCTTCAATGGGAGGGAAGCCTCCCTCCAGAACTACAGTAGTTGAGGATGGCAAGAGAACACTGCACTTGTAAGACAGATAAATCACTTACAAAAGCCAACAGCAGGTACATATTTGTGGGGTGTTCCTTGCGTTTAAACATCAGTCCGAGGAGAAGGCCAATGGACAGTACAAAAGCCACCATTAACACTTCAGGCCTGAAAAAGATTCATGATATAACAAAATGGCTACAAAGCCGAACAAACAAAACAAACTGCAATGACAAAAGAGAGCTTGCAAACAGATGTACCCTGATAGGAGTTCAATTAACAAGGCCCTGTTAGGGTAAAATTCCGACAAGCGACACGGCCTTGAAACAACAACTAAGACTAATAATTAGATTAATAGAAGGGTGACAAACAACAAAAAGATGGGTTAAATAAAGAAAGGGACATTGTCTACTACTCATAACACAAAACGTCCATATTTGAAATTCAGACTAGGGACATGCGCACCCCCTCCCCCACCACCCACCCAAGAGGGCGTCATTATACAGGATAGTCAATTACGAGAGAAACCAGTGCTCTAGTAGCTCCCCAGTGGCCCCATGGTGCCTCACTTTTGTTCTTGGGTGACTAGGAAATCTAGGGGGTTTTTTTAAAATAAAAATCCTTTGCTGGGCACCCTGGATTGCTCAGGTTCAGTGCTATTGTCTCCCTTCAATATTTCTGAAAGCTAAATGTGACTGGACGAACTTTGATGTATTTTATAGAGGGATAACAGACTGGCCTTTGTGTTTTTTGCCAAAACTAAATGCCTCAGTTTAATGTTGCTTGATGTAAAGTTATTTTGAGTGAACACGGACTATGTTGTAAATTCACCTGGACTGGACAAAACCTTTGATGCCTTCTGAGTACATAAATATTGCTGCAACAATGACAGTCAAGGTAAGCTGAGCCGTGAGGATGCCATAAACCTTCCTGAGAAAACCTATAACAGAAAAAAAATGTCATGGTTAAAAACAAACTGTCACATTACTCCTCTGAGCCTCAAAAGTCCATCCAATTCTTCTGTTGTCTTTCAAAGACAGGGCTGTCAGTAAGAGCCGGGGATCTGGAATTTTTGTCCGGCTACTATGAGAATGAGCCCTGGCTACTTTTATAGGAATCAAAAGGAATATAGAGCCAAAGTTCTTCCTAGCTGTACAAGTCCCCTCCTACTAATAGCAGGTACCCAGCAACTTGAAATGTTAGCAACAGCCCTGCAAAGAGTATAAAAACACGGTATCATCACATAAGTAGGTAGAGTATGATTGTCCAGGCGAATGTAGTCCTGAATAGGACTGTTGTTGACAGTGACTGACGATTCGACAACCTATGTAGTGGTCATCTTCCAAGTCAAAGTGAGTTGCATCACATCAGTTGATGGTATTAAACTCTCGTTATGGACCTGATTGGTCAACTAAGTCGTGATCTTATTGGTTGTCTGTCATTTAAGCCGTGATGTTATTGGCTACAAAAACTTGAAATGTTATTGGTGCATTTCACAATGCAGTGGTGTTTGTTCTAAGTTACAAAACCAACAGTTTCAAAAGCCGCCATATAAGATCACGCAAGCAGCTTGGTTTCTCATGCTACAGAAGAATGTTTAGCAAGCCAGTGGTGCCACTGTATTGCTAAGCATGTTCCATTAAGTTTGTTATGAAAACATAATAGCCAAACTTGAAAGCTTGTAAACAAGGATATTGAAGCAACAAAAAAGTACTGATAAGCTTAGCTTATTGTTATTAGTATTTATTTATTTTGATTTTTGAAAACAATTTTGCAACATGTAAACCAGCAATTAACAGATTATATGTAAGTAGGTACAGTGCGCAGAATCAGCCAGTTTTGATTGTTCTGTGAACCATTAGGAGTGATTAACATATGGTTTGCCTTTCTTACGTGTCGTTGTAACTCGCAGCAAACTCGGCTATCATACTTCTCATTCTCACTTTTATGCAATAAACGTCGATTTCTCAGGAGTCTTATATCATAACTACACAAGGATTCCATTCCTTCAAAACCCAAATAGTCAAGCCAGAGATTACTATTTTTGTAAATCATTAAGTTGACATTAGCAAACACGGAAGAAACAGCTAGCCCATAAATACTTGGTTATTTCACATATTTAAAACAGCAAAATATTTATGTTATCATTAATGACGTCTGCCTTGAGATGAAAAAAGATGATTTAAAGGCGATTTACCTAGATCGGAAGTTGGAACGGAAAGAAATAATACATTTTCGAAACAAAATAAATTAACCTGAGGCAGGCAAACCTCAGAAACATACATGTATTTTAGTACGACTTTTTGCCGTCTAATAAGTCATATAAACAACAAAAACACACACCAAGTCGAATTTTTAGATTCGTCTGGGCAACAGTGACTCCATAAGTGAAATCCTCCTCTAAACTGGACATTTTGGGGTTCCCAAACAAACTTCCCGTTGGATCTCCTTTGCTAGTCGCCATCTTGAGACGTGAAAATAATCACCTCCCGAGGAAGGATTTGCCGTGACGAATACAACGAATTAGCTGATTGGTTACCTGTTTGCAAAGAACCAATCACATCGTGTTTTAGAACTTCACCCAGGAGCTCTAACCAAATATGGTTCGATAAATGTCTGCCGCCGGCTGGAATCATGACGTCAAAATCAATGGCGCCATTTTTGTTGTCTGCGAATCAGGCACTCTTTTGAATTTTTTAATTTTTGTCATCATATTTTAGAAGTATTTTTCCACGAAAAGCAGTTTCGATGCTCATTCAAATAATGGAGAATAATGAAGATATCCTTCAAGCTCTACATGGCACGTTTGATAGAGAAAATATCACCTTTTGACAGTAAATTCTAGGCCACATTTTTAGACAATCGTACTAACATTTACGGTTCTTTTGAAACAGAGTTCGAGAACATGTCGAATGCAGAAAAATTCTTAACACAAGATCTTGAGGATATGCTCTCGTATATTGCCAAGACAGGCAGAGTGTTGTAAGTATGTCTATTAAGCTTATATTTATGCCTCTTAAACCTTCGTTTGACATGGGCGCGTGTTTATGTCGTGTTTTGTCGACTGAAGGTCGCCAAAGTTGCTTTTGTTACAGGATTTTTATCACCTTTGTGAAATTTATTTCACCTAAGAGGGATAATGTAATTTAAGTACATTAAAACTGAACTTGTTTTGGAGTAATAATTTCAATTTTTTTTTTCGTTTATGATTAACCTTCGTGATCACCTCGCTTCAATCAACTTTGGCCAGCGGTCCTTGTGATGTATGATTGCGTAATATTTTTTGTAGTGCTTTTCAACTTTTTATTTCACCCGTATTTGATATGTCTTTTAATTTTAATTGGTAAGATGTAAGATTCCATGTAACCCCATACATTTTTAGGCATACATGTTTCGACTCTATTCATTTTAAACTATATTGTGAGATTAGATTAAACTCCCACCACTCTGGAAATTCCAGTTGAGGCTTATGATTTCCTGGAGCAACTTCAGAATACCCGGCCACATCATTTACATTTGTCGGAACACTTTAAAGAACGAGGTATAACACAATAGGCACTTTTGTTATTCAATGATATGCAAGAAGTTATTCTGAAGTTTAGCCGATTTCCTTTATAAATTGTTGACCTTTAAGATTCTTCTCCCCCTTAGTATTTTCAACCCTGACCCTCTGACGATGACCCTCTGTGAGGTGTGTGTGTGTAGGGGGGTATTTTCCTGAACGATACACTGAAAGATAATGTTGATAATTGTCTAGGTATTCCAGGTATTCCTTTAATTTTTCCCCAACTTTTTTTTGTGATAGGTTTCCATGGAATTCTTTAAAACCAGTGTTCCTTTTTAAACTAGACAAGGTAAGGTGTATAAAATTATACACACTTTTTCATACCCTCATTTTACCATCAAATAATATTATTTCAGATTCATGAGTTTAATGACTCTAGTTTATCGACATGACCTGATCTCTTTGGCATGTTCACCAGGTGATGCGGGAATTTTTTGAAAACAGTCCATCTAGGAATGCCACATCATCTGAGCCCACTGTTACCGCAGACTTTGAAGTGATGAGGCAGAGACTTTTAGACTGCTTGGATTCGTTTACCAGGTTACTGCAATTCGTATTTTATATGAATATTCCATGCGCTATAAAAATGTGTACAGTCGGCTCTGGGAGGAGGCCCAACTCCCTAGGATGTCTGTTTATATGTATAAGAGTTACGGATGAAATCCTTTCTCAGGTTTTAGCCAGGTCAAGTATACCCCCATTGATTCTATTAATTAGTTGATTATTATTTTGAAAGATAAATCCTTTACAGTGGAACTTTGATATAGCAAGGGCCAAGGGACTAGCAAAAACTCTTTGATATAACAAGGTTTCATTATATTGAGGTTCTTTTCCATATATTTTACTATAACTGGGGCAAAAAATATTGTTCATTATACCAAGGACTTTGTTATATAGAGGTTCATTATATCATGGTTCTATTGTATATAATTGAGAGTCATATCTGCAGCTAGTGTCTAAGTGTCAATTCAAATCTGCATTCTTGAACATGTAATGAGCAGTGAATGTTTGCATAAGTCCACAACTTCTCTTTATACAGTCAGAATGAACGATCCTTGAATGGAAAAAATTTTTCATGAAACATTTATATCAAATTTAAGAAAAGTGAGGTGGAGGAAATCTTATAACTACCACTCTTGTGAGTAACTTTACTCTTCAATATGAATGCAGTGATGAATCTGAAATCTGCAGCTTCTAACATATTGAATATTTAAAATAATAATCATTAATTAGATAAAATTAATCCTTGTTGGGGGGGGTACACTTGACCTGGCTTCACTGTAAACTAATACATTATTCAATAAACTAACCCTTTTGCATTACTATGAAGGTTGAATACCAGTTTAACCTGAGAACAGATTTTATCTACAGCATAAGCACCTTACACCACTGTCTTGTTCTAGTGTACTACCTCAGTTAATGTTTGCAACAGTTAAGGCATAAAATTTCTCAGTTTTAAAAATTTTAAACATGGTAATTCTTTCTTGCTTTCCAGTGCTCCTTTCACCATTCAGAGACTTTGTGAACTAATGGTGGAGCCAAGAAAAAATTACAGTAATAGCGAAAAGTTCATGAGAGGAGTAGAGAAAGTAAGAGATAATCAGAGCTACAACAAATTTTGGACATTGCTTTTTTAAGTCACTAGCATGTAAAACTCAGAGCTGTCAAAAAGTTTTTAAGTAGCTGGCTAATAATGAATAGTAGGTGGCTTTTGAACTCACACCAAAGGCACAAGTTCTTGAGGGCAGAGGTAGTAGGGGTATTTTGAAATTTAGAGTCTTGGAAATGGCATTTCCAGGGGTTTTCAAGAGGTATTTCCACCATGGATGCCATGTTGTTTTGTCAGAATACACACAAGACTGGGAATAATGCCGTCAAAATGTCCCAGGCATTCCACAACATTGCATGATTTGAACGTTTCACAGATCTAAACCTGTTTAAATATGCATTCAATGTCATTCAACACTTGGAAATGGATGCTTTATAATTTTATTCGATGGTGCTTATTTTTTGGTAGCAGCTATGGTAGAAGGAGATGAAAGCAGTTGGCTAAGGATGGCTAACTAGCCGGCGGTTGTGGCTGGCTACCGGCCCTTATTGACAGTCCAGCTGGTAACAACAAATTTTGGGCATTGCTTTTAAGTCACTAGTGAGTAAAACTTCACAATAATTTTGTTGTTGTTTATAGAATGTTCTTGTGGTCAGTACTGTGGATATCAACAGAGATGATCTTGCTGAGTAAGTGACATTAGATCTCATTAGATACTAAAATTAATGTTAATTATTGTGATGGTGGTGATGTTGATGGTAGTGATGATGATGTAGTTGGTGAGAGTGATACTTGTGTGGTTGAAGGTGATGATGAAGAATTGTAACTGCTGATCTAGCAGAAGATGTTTGCTGTTACATCTACAAGTAATATAGTCAACTCTTGCCTTGGGGTCCCCTAGCTATAAAAGGCAAAAATCCTCTGAAAAATGAATTACAAACACTAACAGATTTACGCTATTAATAGCACTAACTCTCTACAGTAATGTAAGTTGACTGTATAAAGCGCTCAGCAAATGGCCTTATTTCTAATCGTTAAAATTTATGATTATTTATTTTTATATGTAATTAGATGTAGAGTGAGTATAAAATATCGTAATATAATAAATTTTTTAAAAAAAAAAAAAAAAAAATATAAAAAAAAAAATGTTTGGGGGGGGGGGGGGGGGGGGTACACTTGACCTGGCTTCACTGTAAACTAATATATTATTCAATAAACTAACCCTTTTACATTACTATGAAGGTTGAATACCAGTTTAACCTGAGAACAGATTTTATCTACAGCATAAGCACCTTACACCACTGTCTTGTACTAGAGCACTACCTCAGTACTGTTTATGTTTGCAACAGTTAAGGCATAAAATTTCTCAGTTTTAAAAATTTTAAACATGGTAATTCTTTCTTGCTTTTCCAGTGCTCCTTTCACCATTCAGAGACTTTGTGAACTAATGGTGGAGCCAAGAAAAAATTACAGTAATAGCGAAAAGTTCATGAGAGGAGTAGAGAAAGTAAGAGATAATCAGAGCTACAACAAACTTTGACATTGCTTTTTAAGTCACTAGTGTGTAAAACTCAGAGCTGTCAAAAACTTTTTAAGTAGCTGGATAATAATGAATAGTAGGTGGCTTTGGAACTCACACCAAAGGCTCAAGTTCTTGAGGGCAGAAGTACTAGGGGTATTTTGAAATTTAGAGTCTCGGAAATGGCATTTCCAGGGGTTTTCAAGAGGTATTTTCCACCATGGATGCCAATGATGTTGTTCCATCAGAACACGCACAAGACTGGGAACAATGCCGTCGAAATGTCGCAGGCATTCCACAACATTGCACGATTCAAACGATTCACAGATCTAAACTTGTTTAAATATGCATTAAATGTCATTCAACACTTGGAAATGGATGCTTTATAATTTTATTCGATGGTGCTTATTTTTTGTTAGCAGCTATGGTAGAAGGAGATGAAAGCAGCCAGCTAAGGATAGCTAACTAGCCGGCGGTTGTGGCTGGCTACCGGCCCTTATTGACAGCCCTGGTTACAACAAATTTTTGGCATTGCTTTTTAAGTCACTAGTGAGTAAAACTTCACAATAATTTTGTTGTTGTTTGTAGAATGTTCTTGTGGTCAGTACTGTGGATATCAACAGAGATGATCTTGCTGAGTAAGTGACATTAGATCTCATTAGATACTAAAATTAATGTTAATTATTGTGATGGTGGTGATGCTTATGGTAGTGATGATGATGTTGTTGGTGAGAGTGATACTTGTGTGGTTGAAGATGATGATGAAGAATTGTAACTGCTGATCTAGCAGAAGATGTTTGCTGTTACATCTATATGTAATATAGTCAACTCTTGCCTTAGGGTCCCCTAGCTATAAAAGGCAAAAATCCTCTGAAAAATGAATTACAAACACTAACAGATTTACGCTATTAATAGCACTAACTCTCTACAGTAATGTAAGTTGACTGTATAAAGCGCTCAGCAAATGGCCTAAGAGGTACAGTTACACAATGTAACTTTTGCCCTGCTGACACCTTTCCATCACAGACACAATAACAATAAAGAACAGCAGCTTATCCCTTCCAAACTTACAGACATTTAAGTGAATAATATATCTCACTACAGTTGAAACTCCACTAATGGCCACCTCTACACAACGGCCACCTCTCTACAATGGCCACTCTTTTTGGTGAACAGTCCATACGTTGGCTGTTGTTTAAACCTCTCTACCTCGGCCACTTTGTTGTCCTCAAGGTGGCTGTAAGGGAGAGGTCCAACTGTATAACAGACACTTTTTTAGGTCCTGTCAGCCAATTTCATTGATCTCACTCTTGTTAAGACAGACACCAAGCAGAAAGGAAATTTTTCTCACACCCCAAAATTACAGACTCTGGCTATTGTGGACATGAACTTGTGCACACTAGATATTGGAAGTTGACTGTACAAAGTGGAGAAAACAATATTCTGATCACTTGGTATACCTGGTACGTGAGTAAGGATTGAACTATCTGAATTTTTTTTTCAGGATGACCTTGACAAACAATGTTGATGGACAGCACATGTTGTCTAACCTGCCCAATGGTCCCGTTACAAATGGAATTATGACTTACGCGATCCCTTCTGAAGGGAACTCAGTGACTGATCATGGCTACAATGAACGTGTTTCTCATGTCACTCCTGATAGTGTGATATCTCAAGTCACACCAGACTCAAATGGATCCACACCTCTTAATGCTCATGAAAATGGACATGATCAACAAGAACATTATAACGAAAGTAGTTCATCTGCTACAGAATCCTCTCCTGTAGAAGAGTCTAATCTTCCTGAACAACAACTTAGTGAGGAAAAGTGTGAGAGAGACATGAACAAAGTTGAGGGAAATGTGCCCCAGGAAGAGAAGGCGCCAGAAATAGAAAATAAAGATCCTGGTTCGTGTCTGGATGCTCATGCCGAACAGAATAAGAAAAGTTCAGAGGAAGAGAAACCGGAGCTAGCTTCTGAGCAAAGTAAGAATTTTTGTGCAGATGTTGTTAGGTACACAAATCCATAATTCAAGCTTATGAATAAACCATACTGGAACGGTCAAAATGAGGTGTTGCAGTCCTGACTCTTTCTTTTCCTTCTATCTCCTCCCCTCTAGTTGTTTTTCTTTTCTTGCGTCATTTTTTCTCTTCTTCTGCTGGGCATTTAGTAGGCTTTATTTCAGTAGGAAAAGTTTTTGAGAAAGCTTTAAGTATCTTAGAATTAGATGAAAAGAAATTTAGGTAGGAAGTGGAATAAGATTTTCATGGGAATTTTCAGATCCACATTGCATGGTTTCTTGCCTTTTTCTGTGGCATCCTTGACAGAATCATGCTCATTCTGGTATGGTTTGAAAGATCCCTTCACCCTGCACAAGTTAGCTGACAAAGTTGTCCTTGACCGTTAAAACTGATGACATCACAAGCAGTGGAAGGGACGTGGATCTGTAGTATGGAGTATGGGTTAACAGACTTTTTGTTCCTTCATTTTCAGAAACAGAAGCAGTTAGTGAGCAGACAGCAGAACAAGCAGAGATCAAGGAAACAAGTCCATCACCTACAAGTGAAGAAGAAGAGCCAATGGATGAGAACTAACAGACCATTGTCATTAATTTAATGTGGAATATGGTCGTGTATTTTAGCAACTTATTCATTCTCCATTCTACCAGTATCCACATGTACAGGCTGTAGTAATGCCATGAGTTAGCTGGAAAAAGGAAGAATGCAAAACAACAGCTTACAACTGCTTTATCGTCCAACCAGTTTTTATTATTTTGGGTGACTTATTTGTTTGTTTGCTTTTTACATGACAGTGTTTAAAATGTCATATTACAGTCAAGCCAGGTCGAGCATACACCCCAAGTTGCCATTAATGAATTTATTATTTAAAAGTTGATTCTGGTAGTAGTTGTAGATTTCAGATTCATCTCTGCTTTCCTGAATGTTTGATGAGCAGTGAATTCACACGCAAGATAGTTATGAAATTTTTACCACGTCAGTTTTCTAAAATTTGATCTAAATGTCTTCAAAGCAGTTTTAACCATTGAAGATTTGTCAATCTGACCAATAATTACGTCGTAAAAAATTTACTGCTCATTTTTCATGCAGGAGTGCAGATATGAATTTGATACTGGTTGAGGCAACGACCAACAGATTCATTTTTCAGATAAACGATTCATTTATGGAATCTATGGGCGTATGCTTGACCTGGTGTGACTGTAGCTGAGACATTCTTTGTCATTGCAATGTGAAGGTGAACGAACTTTATCATGATACATGTGATCTCTTTAAAGTGCTTCTTGTTCACTTTGTTCGTATCATTCAGGAAGAGAACCTGATACAAATCTTTTTCAGAGTACATTAGCACCCCAAGAACTTGAACTCGGGTAACTCAATCTCCCTGCTAACTTGGTTATCTTGAATTCGAATGACTTGAATTTCCCTCTTGAATTAAATGTCCTTTTCATTGATTAAAAATGTCACTAAAATTTACTCCAGTAATTCAAATTCTGGTTCTTGTATTAATGTAACTCCACTCGGATGCCATCCCATAAGCTCAGCCATTTGTATAATCAGTATAAAAAACACTTAAACTAACACTACAGCAATTTAATTTGAATTGGTGCAATGAACAGATCACTGTACTATACACTGAAGTGCTGAAAAATCAATAACTATGAGTTATTAACATGGGAAATTGAATATTCATTCGATGCTGATAGCTCAAACCCCCGCTAACTTGAACTGTTCTGAGTTTGAGTTACTGGGGTTCGACATTATTAATTTTGCAGTACCTGTCACCACATCTGGAAACAAAATGAAAAAAAAACAAAGGCAGCTAGAAGTACAAACAAAAGCATCACTTTCTTTAATTTTAGTTTTTTTCAGTAAATTGTAGGGAGGTTAAAACAACCTCTACAAGAATAGACAAGATGAACTTTTTTTACCTTCTGTTAACTTTACTTATTTTTCATACACAGTTTTTTTTCTTCAGTTAGAGTTTTCATCTATGCCCTCATTTTTATTTTCTAATAAATAAGTAATAATTTACTGTATATTATCAAAATTTTAACTACTGACATAAAGGGAATCTTGTTTGAAAATATATTTTCTTGTTTTACTGTAGAAGTCTTCAACCTTTTTCCATCCATACTAAAATTATTTAAACTCTCTCAACTGAGAGAGTTGTATTGTAAATGACTATCATGCAAATCTTTCATCTTTGATTTCTCTCCTCTCCACATAAATAAATTCTTAAAGCTCTAAATTTCTTATTTTTTACCAATCCTTTGGGTTGCACCAGAACCAGGATGGCACATGAGATTTTCTTCATGCTAAGCTTCTTGTTTAGGCATTAAAGGATCCAACAAGAAAATATCCTAGACCCATCAACTTAGAAAATCTGTTGCATTCAAGGTGATTGCTCACTTAAACAGGGTACCCAAGTTTTATTCATGCATTGGGAACCCAAAGATAGTAGTAGGTGAAAGTGGTTGTGTCTGCCCTAAACTTGCTTGTTACACCTCCACTCTTATCTAACAGGTCATTTTTTCAAGCATTCATTTTCATATTTAATGAGACCTTTGCGTACAATAATGTATAAGAAGTCAAAACTGCAGTTTCAATCTTTGATCACTAATTTAGTCAGCATTAAATCCTAAAAGAGTGACATCTCAGCAATTAAAGTCGGAGCTAACTGTCATGTAGAATAGTTATTGATGAAACTTCCAATAAAGAAGTAAATGAGTCAAGCATTTATTCTGGTTTTAGGCTGCCTGTTTCAAGGTTCAGGGAGTGGGGGGGGGGGGGGGGGCACCCCGGATTGCAAGGGGTGGGGGAGCCTGCTAACAAGCTCTTCTGGAGCCCCCTGGCAAACGGGGGAAAAGGGGGGAGGGCTTGCGGGTACCTCTCCTTCCCCCCTTCCCCCCCCCCCCCCCATACCCCCAGCAACCCCCGGGGAGCTTATACATGGAGAACCATCAAGAGAGAGAAATGCAAAAAAATAGGATGTGATTTAGATGTTGTAGTAGAAATATGTGTGAAGACGATTAAAAAAAAAAGAATTAGGGTCGATGTTTTTTTTTTGGTGGGTGGGGGGTTGTGGGGGGGGGGGGGGGGGGGGGGGGGGGGGGGGGGGGGGGAGGGCACCCTGGATTGCAGGTGTTGGGGTAGCCTGCTAACAAGCTCTTCTGGAGCACTCTGGCAACAGGGCGAAAAGGAGGGAGAGCTTGCAGTTACATCTCCTTCCCCCCTTCTCTCCCCCACCACCATATCGCCAGTAACCCCAGGAGAGCTTGCTTGCAGGCTAGTGTTGGGGTTAATAGAAAGATTTATGAAGGGTTAAATTTTCCATTCAGGGATTTTGTGGGGGTAGAAAAATTTGGCAGGTTTTTTTATCTCCTGATTTAAGTAGGGCTTTTGGGGGCATTCAAAACAATAATTGGAAGGTTGGTGGAAGTGTCCATGTATACCAGCCACGTAGTTCTGCTAATAAAGTAAAAAAAAGCACATTACATTGTATCTCAAAATAAATATGCTCCACAAAGTGTCCTGGTGTGCTTCCAACGAGGCTTTATTTCATTTAGTTGATTTCTCATCCGTCGTTCTCATTACACACCAGGCTTTATTGTCACAGAAATGCCCTTTTGCCGTAGTGAATTCTCAGACTCGGAATTTTAGCATGGAATTGTTTTGTTTTTTTGTTTGTCTTTTTTTGGGGGGAAGAGGGGGTGCCTGGACTTGTAGGGATGACGCGCACGGGAAAATATGAACGTGTGGTATGGGAAAAGGGCCGACAATCTCGGAGCCTGGAGAAGAGGCTACAGGGAGGTGGGTAGTTCTGGGTGGAAGCCCAAGGGATTTTCTGTTTACTTTGATCTTTTCCCCCATTCTTCCCCAGCACTTGGAACCGCCCTTTGTTTCAGGTGTTCATATAGTAAGAACTAAATGAGTAATGTGAAGATTATTGAGTAGTTGTGATATTTTCAGGCTTGATCATTTTGACTTGGGTTTAATTTGGGTAACCACAAGCACAAGGGGAAAAGATCGCCCCCTTTTTGATACCCGCAAAGCCTCATGGGATACTTAGGAAAGGTCTGGAGGTCGAGGCCTACAGCAAACAAGTTTGATCGTAAGTTGAGTGCATGATACAAAACAAGAGGTAAAATATAACTTCCTCCATCCTTTTTTTAATCGGAAGGAAGCATAACCTCAAGTCAAGCCAGTAAGGTAAGATTTTTAGACCTAGACTGACCAAAGCATTGACTGAAGTTCCAAGCTTGGCTTTAGTCCAAAGGCGATGTGCACACTATGTACGTAACCGGATATCGTTTTGTGCCGGCTTGTGTTTACACTTAAGGACGGTGATTTCGGGGCGATCTCTGCGACGGAGCAAAGCTCTGCGCCGATCTCTAAAGTGGAGAGTCACGTATCGGATAGGTTTTCATAACTATACCGTCACGAAGTTCGAAAATCTATCCGGTAGCCCAAGGCATGAAAATAGTTTCGACGCTTGTTTATTAACTTCAAATAATGATCCTTTTTTCCATCAGATCTGTAGTTGCTTCTTGCCATCTTATTCAAACGTAGCAAACAGTTGCAGTGATCACATTTTGAAATACCTTAAATGTTTACTCAAATTTTGCTCCAACCACAAAAGATTAATTTACATAACGCAATCTGTGGTTTAATGTTTCTAGACTATGTCAGTTATCATCCTCTCCTTTCCAATTTCGCTAGCAAGGAATATCTTCGGTTCAGACCAGTGAAAGGTTTGCAAGATATTATAGAACTTAATGACAGATTTGCTTTTTCCTGCAGGCATAATTGTAAAGCATGGGTGGTAACCATAGCAACCTGCCTCCTAAACCACTGGGGTTTGAATACATGTGCATAGCGGTTCGTACAACTGACAGGCTTCGCATCATACTTGGTGGTGACCATGAGGCAGCCATCATACGTCAGATTATACAAGATACATGGCTCAAAGGGATACAAAAAGAAACATTTGAACTTAATGGAGTTTTTGAGTTCAAGTTGAAGGGCAATCCATTTTCTCCTGCTTCTTCATCAAGTGATGCGGTGGCTTGTAGGAGAATGGCTGAGAGAATTTTGCACAGGCTCTACCGAGATGGATGGAAGCTTCAAATGTCAACTAATTTAACTCGCACAGGTGATTTGTCTTCTTGGATATTCAAGAAAGTTGCAGTTGCAGAATTATCTTCTCAGCCATTTCTCATAATTGGTCTCAGCAGCTGGGACAGTTTGATGGTACTCAATGCTCCAATGGATCTGCACCAAGTTCTCAAAGATGCCATAGAGAGATCATGGCCTAAAGGTATCCAAAAGTGGACGTATGAGAATGAAGTACTGTTAATCAAGCTAAAAGGTTACCCCTGGCGACCAGATGGTGAAGAGGCAGTTTATTCAAGAGCAGTGCTTCAAACTATTATCAGTGATCTAATACCCAGACAATGGAATTTATATGGCAACTCCAACATCAGAGGTGACAGCAACACTCTGTTCTTCGAACACAATCCAAGCATGGTACCAGGGCAGCCTCCTCCCGCACAGTTTATCATCAGCTTCAACAGTGATGACTTACTGAGGCTCATTGGAGCTCCAGACACCATGGTGTCGACTGTCCGAAGCACCATCCAGAGTTTTTGGCACAAGGGAATCAAGGAAGAAAAACGCTATGCAGAGAGTTGGCAGTTTAAGCTGAAGGGATATCCATGGTGGGCGTCAGGAGAGGAGGCAGTAGAATCACGATTTCTAGTCATGAAGCTGATGGAAGCTCTGTTACCATATGGATGGACCCCTGTTGCTGCCATTGATAGCTCAAGGAAAGACTCTGATAAGAGTTCTCTGCTCTTCAGATTAATGCAACCAAGGCAGGCACCCTTTTTCTGTATGAGTATGAATGAGTCAGACAAACTGCGACTGATCAATGCACCAGAAGATGTTACCAAGGTATGGTGTGACCCACCTACATTAGTAGATAATGGTAACAGTGCTCGACACTAATGCTAGTCCACTAGCCCAGGACTAGTGAAACTTTAGGCTGGGCTAGTAAAAATATGCTTCTACTAGCCCCTAGACCAGTTAAACAAGTTGACAAAATAGTTTTTCTAAAACTCTTTTACTTGGGAAGTTCTTTTTCTAAAACGCTTTATCACTAGTTTGTTTGTTTGTTTGCTGTGGGAGCGTATATTTGGGCATCAATGTACTAGGCGTGTGTGAAGTTTTTTTATTTGGGTGTCACCCAAACAGAGTAATCAAGTTTGTTTGTTTTGATTCAAAGTTGCAATAGGCACACAATACATGCGAAAGTAAACAAGCCAAGTGACACAAATGTCTGCCGTGCACTGTCACAATGTTCACAGCATTTATCTTCGTTACAATGCACTGCCAGCAAATGTGCAATAGAAAACAAATTTTTTGTAAAAACAAAGAACACTGAGTGAAACAAATTATTGAATAATTTAAAAAGGGGGGGCTTGAAAGAGGATTTATGGTAGGCACCATGTGAAAGTACAGAACAACAAATTGCCTATTTTTCCACCTATCTAGATCTGCCAAGATGTCATTCAAACTCAGTATGTTCTTGGCGTTCAACGAGTGCAGACCTATGGCACTAGCCTGGAGTTCAAGCTGTCGGGTAATCCATGGAGCTCATTTATGGATGGTCATGATGGAATCCATGCCAGAAATTTGGTATGCCACTTAATTAGTGCCCTTTCAGGTCGAGGTTGGATAGCTGTGACTGCTGCTGATGTATCTGCAAAGTATGTCCATCAAGACAATGGTCCAGATTATCCTATTGATGTCGACAGCATCTTCTTCTTATATGATCCTTCAGCTGTAGCTGCTGCACCCACAGCTCCACCGCTGCAGCTACCATACCCTCAGTTGTATCCTCAACCATTCACACAGCCCTATCCTCAGCCCTTCCCACAGCCTTATCCTCCACCTCCAGCTTACGGCTTCGCTCAGCAGGGTGCTCCGCCCCCTTTTGATCCACCAGCCTATGGGGCCTTTTCTAATCAGTGATGTAATAATTTGTCCAAATTAGGTATATTACAGTGTTCTGAATGTAACAATCATGTTAGTTGATTAACTGTCAACTCTCCCTTAGACTGTGGCTGGTCCCCTGTCAAATTTGTAACCTGCACAATTGGCAGCAGGGATGAGGAATGATCACCCTGCATACCTCTGACAAGTCAGCTCTAAGACCATAAACTTCAATGCTGGGACATTAATAAGGGACTGTTTATTTATGTTTTTAGCAGAAAAAATAATACTCTACCACTTCACTCTTTGTGCCCTGACAATGTTCACATTTGAGCAGCATTTTCTAAAATGTTACAGCAGGCCAAACTGAAAATGGATTAGAACACAGTCTTACAGTGGCTTAACTCTATTGTTCAGTTTAACTAACCGACCTAAAGTGTCTTAACACATACCCATGAGAATAGAAGAGAATATGAATACTTGTTCTTATGCTTACGCTGACTTGTAAACTACTCTTTACTGGCCAAGTAACTACTGGTAGTTGAAATAGATAAATGTGTACACATCATCAAATTTGGATATATTATAGATTTATTTTGTTTGCAAATTCACGGTAAACCATGCTCTAAGTGCATGTATGTAATAGACCCTCGCTGCTATACAACAAAAAGCAGCATTAATTTAAGAACCTGTCTTCAAAAGGTTCTTTTTTCTAATGTCAAATGGAATTGAAACTACATATTTTATATTTAAGGTTCTCTATTTTTCTTGAAAATTATACTGGCAAGAATCGGTAAAAAGTAAAAATCTCCAGCAAATAAAACAAAGCAACAGTGATGGTCATGAGGCATAAATAACAACAGGAACTGAAAAATGATTAATCGTTGTTTTGCTAGTTCATGTTAGGGGTTGGAAAGGACATAGACATACATAATACATAATAGACATACATAATACAATTTTGGTTAGGACGTGTAAAGTGTCAGTCGTAATTTTTTAATAAATTTTTCTGACTGAATGACTGCTGTGTTTGTTTCTGGTCCAGTAACAAACTGTCTGGATTTTTTTTCCAGGTAAATCGTCGTTTTAGTAATAGACCAAAGGTTTTATTGGTCAAAAAGCTTGCAAATCACGAGCCAATATTAGTTTAATAAAAATTTCCCCGCCCACCCATTCCGTTAGTTTTTCAAGGGATCAACCCCCAGCTTACAGTGATTTTCTGCAGTCAAAAGCACAGGCCTTCCAGGTATGAGAATAAGAAAAATACGGTTCCAAACTTAAAGGAGCAAACTGGTGGTAGAAGATACAATCCAAAGAAAACGGTGATTTATTTATTTATTTGGTTTTTTTTAGAATCTTTTCAAACAGTGGAATCAAATCAAGGACGTTTTTCGTAAAAATATTCTTATAACTCTCAAAGAGTTTGGGTTGCCTGTGTCAAAAGAGAAAATTTGCTCGACGCTGATTGGTCGAGATACATCTGTTAGTTTGGCTGCTTGCAGAAAGACTTTTCATGATATTTTTGAGTTGAAAAACTGCCTAGCAACCTATG